GCGCTCTGTTGCATTTATCCTTGCATAATGAAAATTCAGTGATTTTTAATATCAGCTCTTTTTTATTACATGCGCCTGCCTATATTATCAGATATCATTATATGCGCTCTTTGATTATTGTAAATATCTTCAATTTGTGTATTTGGCTTTCTAAAACTTGATTTTCGACAAGACAACTACGTTGTTCATATTGAACAGCGCAAAGTATTGTTTACAATATCTAGCATTCTGCCCGCCAGGGAGCTGAATGTCTACTTTTGTAGATTTACAGTATTTTTCCCCTGCAGCACAGCTATCTATTCATTCTGCTCACCGAATGTAAACTTCCATAGGAACTGCATTGGCCATTGAATACCGCTTGATTACCAAAGAGGTAACGGTGTCATCTGTGCACTGCTAAATGGTAGTGGGCTGCTGCCGTATCTGTCTGCGTGTGGTACGCCCATTCCAGCAGAACAGTGAAGTTCACCGGTTGGTAAGCGACGAATTCTGGCCGTCATATTATCAGTAATGGAGTGGGTACATTAAACATCCACTGTTTACAGGTTTTTCTCTGTCATACCTGGGCTGTCCATTGGGGCCCCTGTTCGCGGACTGTCCAAAAGTTATCTGCGCCAGACCGGCAAGCGTAATTTTGGTGATCATCGTAAACGCAACGATGCTCAGGCGTTAGGGCAGTAGCAGCAGTTATCGGTGCTTGGAGAGGACCCTTCGGCTACCGAATGGCATAAGGATCTGCTAATGCAATGTGGATCTGGTGATTCATATTATTCGTTGGACGTTAACTGTTGCAATGACCTTACTCAGTCGATGAAAGAAAAAGGGTACACTGGTAGTTTTGTAATCGAAGTTGCTTCTAAATAATACAACACCGATCAGGATACTTCCCTTTAGAAATATTCTCTATGACATTTTCCATTTAAGGGTAACTTTAATGAACGCATAGTAGACAACTTGATATAAGTCCACTACCAGTAGTCCGGCGCACCTCTTCTTTTTAATATATTCTCTACTAGGAATACTGTGTACTGTACTCGTAGTCTACGTTTCGTTAGTCTACTTCGTCTATGTTAGAGAAGGTCATCGTAAAGCTAGAAGCCTTTTCTAGTCTAACGTCTTCAAAGGTTTGGTTCAAAATTTTTTTAATAAAAGAGCCCTATAGCCTTTCTGACACGAAACTACTTTCGGCGTGAGGTATGAGTTCAACGACGGATTTCAGTATCTTGACTTTATGAAGTTATCTGCAAACTGCCGAATGATAGGCCAATCGTTCGAGAAGAGGTAAAGGTTATATAGTTTTCGTTTTGCGTTACTATTTATCTTTTCGTTTGGTAGACTGACAAAACGTTTTTCAGTACGAAATTATATATTTTCATTTCCAACTTACGTTCGCTTTCTTCCATCGCGCTTAGCTTTTTATTCTAAATAGCGGCACGTACACACGTTATTTCTATATGCGCTGTGCTTTTGATTTGGTTGTGGTACATGCATGGCGTAATTACTACGACTTTATGCAAAAATGTAGTTCATCCTTTGCCATATTTGAATGATTACTGTGCCTCATTGGTGTACTTGACTATGTAAGGGTACTTTTGGGTTGTACTAGGAAATTTTTAGTAATAACATGTTGTCCGGACAACAAAAGAAGGTGCAAATGTTCAGACGCAACGAACTCGAGATGTACACCTACAGTGAAGTAAAACTCCATACGACGCCTATGCGATTTTTCATCAGGTTAGCTGAGCCTGATCGTTTGGGGTTTCGGGGATCCATGTTACTGTAATCTACTAAAGGCTCTGCTTTTGCTGGCAACTCTACCAATCACGACTTTCGATTAACTATAAATGATCAATGCCGCATGTGGCTTTGATCATGAAAGTAATTTTGTTCACGGTCCACCAGAATAGTCAGCCTATATATATGCTAGACAGTTAGTTGCATTTGGCTTGTGGCTATCGTATTTCTGCCTGCCAAGAACGGAACTGTGTCAAACGAATCGGCTGACGACGCTTTTTCATGTTTCATACTAATAAACATTTTTTCGATTTGCAAAAAACGTTTCTCTTAGAGTTGCGGTCTTTTTTATCTTTGTTATTAAAGGGGGGTCGATTTAGTAGTCATAATCAAAAAATAAAATGATTTTTTTTAGTAAGATAGAAATTCAGCTTTAATCATTTTGCTAAACGTAATACAGTGCACACGACTACGAGATCTAAATCAGTTTCATTACTTTCTTGGTGACCTACACACTGGATGGGATAAAAGTACAATACAAGGATATGTGAACCTTCCCGAACAAAGAGATCATTTTAATAGGCGGTTCCGTTGCGTATTTCAAAACATAGGATTTTTTAAATGCAACTGTTTCAAACTGTTAAAGAACGAATAATTCATCCTTATGGTCCGCGTAAGGCCACTGTCCACCAAACAGCCAATTGGAGTTCTAGGCCTACTATTTGTAACAGCATGTTACAGCCCGAATTTCGAATTCGCTTTAGACTTGTGTCACGATTATCGAAGCTCTATGTCCGATTTTTACCGGCCTATGCATACCCTGGACGAAAATTACGGAAAGCACAGAAAACAGTTTGTTCTACGATTCGCGCGTGACCCTGTCGGATCGGCGGGTTCTTTAGGGAAATTGTGTTGTCGAAAGCGAAAGATAACGATCGCAGAAGGGTAGAACAGGATTTTTATAGTCGTGACAGCATGGTTATGAGTTACAATACACACGTATTCTTTATACAAACAGGTGAAAGCGTATATTACAAACAATGTAAGTGTTCTCCAGGGAGACACTTCCAGTCGTGTAGCCATTTAGAATACATAGTCTTCCAAAACTGTTGGCGCCACGGACTACGTTTTCATAGTCGAGTAGCGATCAGCGGTCAGGAGGCTAAAGCCGTCCTGTGTCGAGGGCCTGAAGGTACGCTCGGAAACAGCGGCGATTCGGGCCTGTCGAATGCACACGTTAGAAGAGTAACTGATCTCCAGGGAGTACTCGTTCTTCCATTGTCTCTGCTTTGTCCTGATGGATAGCTAGGCTTTAAGCATAAATTATTTCCACAAGAAGTTCTGACCTGCCCCTTTGTTGGGCGTAAGTACATTTCTAGCATTTATACAAAATTTGGGTCACCCGGAAGTAGCATACGAACGTGAATCATTTATGACCGTATCTACGTGCATCATCGTAAAAAGTGAATCAGATGGGACGGAGCCTGACAAATAACATCATTTCTATGTCTCGTTGAACTGCAATTGACTTTGTTTTCAATACAATGAAACTTTTTACAAGCTTGGCCTAATTTCAGCAACTATCTAGAGGGCTCTGAATATTTCTGCTTTAAAAAGAATAAGGTTCATGCAACTTCGATGCTTGCTATCCATTTCATTTTTTTTTTCGTTAATTTAACTTTTGTTTTTCACGTTTGGCTCATAAATTAGGAAACATGTTACTCAGAACGGTAAGCATATTATTTCTTTAAATGTTTGAAAAGTGAAGTTCATGTTCGTTAGCTTTGCTATAGGTTATGCGAAGCTTTCATTTATTTACAATCGTGCACAAAAGTTCTATCTCTGTTTCTGGAACTAGGGCTATGTAAACCTCGAAATGTATATATGTAATTTATTTTAGTCTAATTTACCTCTGATAAGTTTGTAGCTCATTATATTTAAGTGGGGCCGGAATAGAAACCTTTTGATGCGGGTCGCTATGACGGAATGAGCTAAATTCTGTTACTTGTGCTGCGGATTTTTAACGCTTCATTTATATGTAGATGAGCGCTAATTATGCATCTTAAGCTCTTTGTTGTAAAAAGTTGTTTTTTTACAAGGAACAATGAACTGTCCCAATAACTTGTTCTTGTACATGAGATAATTGAAGACCCTATTCCTTGATTAAGACAGCTCAGTTGACACGATGTATCATCTGAAAAATGACATTCATCGCTAATGTTGATCTAGTGCTGACAGAATGCCGCCTCAGCCACATTGGTAGTGGCATCTGGTAATGTTAACCAATGATAAAGAAACACTGAGTCACTAGTTTTACAGAAACAATTTTATAGCGGTCTGCAGTCGCTATTATAAGCTTTCTTTATAGAATTCAGGCGGGAATTATGTGTACATATATTTACTCTGATTCATATAGTTAGTGTAACGAAATAGTGCGGTCGGTAGTAACTGTTTTCATAATTTTGGCCTTTCCACACCGTTGACAAGAAAGCCTTTTTTGGATATAACCCTCAGTGTGCCTGTGGCCGCAATGCGGACTTCTGCAGCTAAAAAGCACAGCGATATACCTGATGGTAAACGACCGCAAAATTAGCTTTAAGAGACCACTCATTTTCGCGGTTACACCTATCGATTGCAACTGTTAGGCCTATACTCAGAACAGTAGCTTACCTGAAAAGGTAAATAGACCGATGCAACTATACATCAGTTACGGCGGGCGACTTTTAGATCTAGTGATCCATAATGTATACAAATGGAGACATATATATATATATATATATATATAGTTCACATTTGCTCTAAAGTTACACAAAACATATAGACTTTGCATTGTTATTGGAATTGCAAAAATTATTGGGCATTAGAGATAGAAATATTAAAATGATAATGTTCGTAGTGCAACAGTTGTCGTGGGAATATTTTAGACACATGGCCTTTTCGACAACTTAGTCAAGTTTATTAAAATTTCAACTCGTCCTTTTATTTAGTTCTGATAAGATTTAAAAGTGCGTATGTTTGCTCAAGTTGGTAGGCGCCTTCATCGCCAGGTTATTTCGGGTTTCTATCTACATGAACGCTATTTAAGGAAAGGATAAGATCACTAAATAAATAAAAGCTGTGTATTTAGCTTCAGTTGAAATTTCAACGTGTTTAGTTCCTGATATATTTTCGTGTTGGTATTAATTAATAATCGCTCGGCTTGTTAATGGTAGCTGCGCATATACAACTGGTCGTAAAAGATTCTAATTCGTGAAATTGGATTGCAGTGTCGCCCGTTGTCGCCGAAGTGAAACGCCAGCGTTTGGCACGCAGCGATTTTGAGATCCTGAAAGTAATTGGCCGCGGTGCTTTCGGGGAAGTTGCCGTAGTGCGAGAAAAAAGTTCGCATAAAGTTTATGCCATGAAGATACTCAACAAGTGGGAGATGCTCAAGCGCGCTGAGGTAAGCAGAATAAACAGAAAATGCTCTTCATAGAAAACTTTCGAATTACTCTTTTATATAATTGAACTAAGATTTGCAAAAGTTGTTCTTACTTGAGCTTATTTTGTGGAACTTGAATGTTTCTCTCAACGTTAATCTTTCATCAATAAAAAATGTATCGTATAACGGGACTCAGCTATATGCTTTGACCGAGAGCTATTAGTTCTAGACTGCATCAAGTTTGCTCTATAGAGTACTTCGGTGACATAACTAGAATATAGTACGTTATAATCGTCGTATCTCGTCGTGTGTCGTTCTTTCCGAAATCATCAAAAACGTGCACAAGCATCGTTAAAAAGATCAACGACTGACTTGGTCTTGCCTACGGCAATTATTTGCCATGTTGCTACAACAACTAGAAAGCTTCACCCCGTTTTATATAACGAAATTGTAGTGCCACGAAATAATCGTTACGAAAAGATTTAAGCGCGCCTGATACACAAGTCAAAGATAGTTTAGTCTAATATACGTGCATACAAGAATATCCTCGTGTGTATTTGTATACCTTGTTAACTCGACAGATAAGAACGTTTACCCTGTCGCTCTGGCTATATTTGGTGATACCGTTTTATCTATTAGCTGTGATTGTCACCATAGCTACGGCTCACGTCATTGATGTTGTTAATCTAATGACGGGCGCACGGCATCTGGTTATCTAGTTTTGTACGAGGATAATCGTTTAGACGGCTTTCAGCGGTTTAGAGTCACGTTAAGATTTTGTCATCGACTAGGATCCATGCATCTGTAAGAAGCTGATTCATTATGATTATATAAGAAGGGTTAACGAAGAGGATGACCCTGAGAGCCTCCGAAACGTTCCGAAGACTGCTCTCTATAGACAACTATTTGCCAATCAAACGAGCAACATTCCGCCTATCAATAAAAATAATAGCCGTTTTTTACTGCATAATGGTAAAGGAAATTCTTGACACCGCTGGTTATAGTCGTCAGCACGGAGGGACGCGAATGATGATGATGATCTGAAAAGGTCAAAATGGCAGTTATAATGCGGTACATAGGGACTCAACGGCCCGTAAAAGGGTCCCGGGAAGGGCCACGCACACACGACTCCATACGTCTTGATCCTTTGTTGGTCCCGTGAATTCTCTTCGATCACGCGTGCACCGTGAATGAAAGCGCGTTATATAGTGATTGAGTGTTATTGGATGTACAGTTTTTTCTCCAAACGCACAATAAATAAGAGAAGAAAAACGCTGTGTCTGGTATCAAGTAGCGTCGGTGTTATTATGTAGCAGCTGTGGATTAACTTTTTTCATAACATAATAATGTTTATAATAAAGTAACAATAATAACAATGCTATAACAAAGCTCTGTACGTGTACTGCATTGTATAGTGGCTATTGTAGCTGGCAGTTGAGTCGTGTATCAGTGTAAATGACCAGGAGAGAGGTCAGATCAGAGTTTTAATGTTCGATTCGGTTTCATATTTTTATCCAGGATAATCATTCAAAGCCGTCGAGCTGCTCGTTTCATTTGGTACTTACTATAGTCACACTTGAAATATAGGTCAAGAACTAGGCGTTGCACAGACAGTTTCGTCTAAATGTATAGGTTGATTTTTAGAGCATCGACGATATGTAACAAATGCACTTTTTGGGTACAGATAACCTTATTGCAAAAAGCGTAAAAAGAGAGATTTGGTGGCACCTTTCATTATTCCGTACCCATTTCAAATGGTCGTAAAAGAAATTGCAATTAGCGTTCACTGAGGACGTCGAAGGGCAATACAGTAGCCGTCGTCGACTGGCTCCCATAGTTCGTATACCCTTATTCACCCATTTGTATTGGCACAAGTTTGCCCCGTTCTCACACCTGGCAAGCGCATTAAACTTCTAGCCGCGCTTTTCCCAATTGACCTAGTCCAGGTTATGGCGGTTCGGACCGTATCGCCTTGTTGTATGAGCTGAGTCGTTTATTGTTAACCTGTAATTGCCCTGAAGCCGCTGTGTTACTGATGATGAAAACTTATATTGCTGAATGTAAAGCATTAATAGACTTTTAATGCGAACATTGGTAATAATAGTTCGTAATTCTTATATACCATTTTTTTAAACTGCTCTTTGATGAAATCGACCGATGCTTTGTATTACGATATATGACCAGATCAAAGTATAACAAATAGTGTAGAGTAACAGAATTGAGCACTGCACCAACTCGCTCGTAGCAAGTTCTGATAGATCACGTTATAAAGAAAATCGTCTCGCTAACGATAAGCGTGTTTAGCGGGAGTCCGTGGACCTGGTGGATTCTTCTAACATGGTGACAGCCAACGAGCTCACGGTTCTGGTAGGTTTCAATGATCGCAGCAAATCCTTTGCAAAAAAGTTTCTCTAGCCTTTTCTAGCGAAAGTAAACAGGCCAGCAGGCTCTGTTGGCCGTATCAGTGCTGTATCAAAGTTAAATGAAAAACATGGTGTAGTGATATGAGTGAACCCTACTCAGTGTACAATCGGATATTGCTCAAGCAAATCTGGAGCTGACATACGAATGATTCGATGCTCATAAGACGTAAAAATTTACTTTATGTTATTTATATGAAGTCGGTAGTTGGTGGTGCCAACTCGAAAAAGATCAGCGTGCGAAATATGTCGTCAATATTTCGTTCAAAAGACGCATTTTTCTCAATGTGTAAGCAATTTTCTTATCGTTGCCGCCTGACGGGAAGAGCGATTACATTAGACAGGCTGAAATATTTATTCTTGTTATTAGTGAATGCTGATCGATATATAAGGTTCATCCTTGCTTTGTTTGACCCGCGCGGTACACTGGTAGGTAAATCTCTATCAATACGTCTATCACAAATATGTAGAAAATTCAGGTTTTTTTTTAAGAAAGAAATGTAGCATCAATGATATCTCGTTTATTGTTATTTTATGGAATGAAATGGTGATTAAGATAAAAATTTTATACAATTTCATCTCAAGATGTTCGATAGAGAAAAGCGAAATTTTTAACGAGATCGTGCTTACGTGCGGAAAGAGATCTTTTCGCCGTAGTAAGCACGGGAACGAAATTCATAGATATATCGACTTTTTACAGTATTATGACAAACCTTTTCCTCGCAAAAAAAAGTACCACGTACATATTATTTTTGGATGGAAGCCAATTCTGGTTTTTGTAATTCAGGCCTTTAAAAAAACAAAAAAGCATACAGGAGCGCAAAAATTTTAGATCTTTTCCGGCTTGAAACAATTTTACTTTATCATGGAAAGTCAATATGTGGTGGGTAAAACTGATCTAAGGCGACGAAGTAAGCCGAAAAATAATATCCATGCGTCGAAATCTAGCAAACAGTCGCTACATTAGATGCTCTGTCACAGTGTGATTATCATTAGCTTTTTATGATTCACCCTAAACCCCGGGCAATTTTGAAAGTTGAAATAAACAATTATAACATTAACTCAATGTTTGACAAAAGCCATATCTACGATATGACTGTAGCTATAGAGAACCTCGCGTATATCATAAACATGAACCCCATACCTACAATGGACCATGTTGTTGCAGCTGATGCATTTTGTTGGCATCGTTCCTGCTATGTCCACCTATTACATGAACAAATGCCCTCAATGGCAAGGATTCAGGTTGAATGTAAACAAGCACGCAAAATCATTACTGGTGTGGAACTGTATGTATTCTACAATGTGTAATAAGAATATTTATTATACAAGCGTAATTTTTCTATAAGGAGATAATACGTTGATGCTCTGCGAGCTTATTCTAGCATTTGATTTCTATCTACTTAACTATGTAATTTAGCTTGCAGTAAACCATAGAACGGATAGATATCTTTGCGATGAAATCAGATACATCATCTTTACCCAATACGTCATTTGTAATGTTGAACGTTCGCCGCTCAGAGAAGCGTGCATCACCATGATCCATTTAAGTCAATTTTTTACTATATTTAGATAATGTATGCTCAGCATTATAATCGTTGCTCTAATTTAAGTATTCCGGTCCTTGAGTCAAGGTATCAACTAACACCTTGCTGACTTTTTCCGCTTTTTTTGTGTGGGGTTTGAAGCGTCTTATAGAGGGCTCGTTGCAGTGATTCAAACTTTTTCAAATACAGGTCTAGTACATCCCTACTACCCATAGGTGCTATCCCGCTTCAGTAGTTCGGGACATTCTTTTAGTTCTATGTAGGCTGTTGCTAACGATGAAGCGTCCTTCTATCGTTGACTTTCTTGCAATTGTTCTCTCTGGTTCCGTCACTTCGGTGTTGCAGCTGCTGCTGCTGCTGTTATACGGAAACTCTATATCATGTGTTCCTTATTAAGCGGACGTGAAAGTGGATAGAAAGCCAGCCAGCCAGCCAGCCAGCCAGCCTGTGAGGTGGAGATAGAATTGGCGATGACATAGTTGATGTCATCATTGAGTTTTGTAGTGTCCCTTTGCTCGTAGACATTGGTGCTACAGCATTTACTGATACTGAGTTTTTAAAGCTCGCCGACACAACCGCTCCTTCTTAGTTCCGTCACCAGTTGTCGTGGCTGCTTTTGTTGCTGTTAGTGATATCGTCGCGGACGATGCTGCCGGTTCTGATCTTTACTCCGGCCGACTATTCATCCTTCCAGCATGTGCTTCAACAACGTCACACTGTGACACGGTTTGAGCCCGGACAAATGGTAAAGGCTCTTTCTCTAAAGCAGTTGAAATGTCTTGCCTTTCGTTTCCTCTCATCTCAAATGAAGATACACACTCCCTAACTAATTATTGTTGAGTGAACGTACCAAAGCTGAGCAAGCAAAGTCAGCTACCTCACCACTGGGCTCCCAACAACTGACTAACCGCATACATCAGATTGCGGAATATTAATTAAGACAATGTGGAGAGCTAAGATGGCGCTTATCTATAATTTCTTTACCGTTGCTGTTCTTCTCATCTGGAATGGCCGCTATTGTTAGTACAATTACCACCGACGTTCAAAACACCATTTATCTCCCCTTTTTGCGCTAAGCGTTTAAACGCGTTTCCGCCTCCCTGCTTGCCATTCTTGTAGGCGTTTATATTGAACTAATTTGCGCTAGCTGAAACAACAACAGAAACGCAAACGGCGATTGCGGCCACCGTGACAGGTACACTGCTGGTAATGATATCAAACGATAACAGTAGCCATCATTTCATTGTTTAACTTCGTGTATTCTGTTATAGCTGTCGCTTTCAGGGGACGTCTGAATAAATGCTAATTGAGAATGTCGCTATGACCCAACATCTGCCGATGGTCGTTATCCAAGTGGAATTTCTCGTTAAACCTGTCATGTCAGAAGCAGTTCTTGTTGAAATATTAACTCAGCTTTCTATATTTGCTAGATTTGTTGTGTTCATGAGATGAATAGGGACGGAATGACAAAGCGAAAAAATGCAAGGTATTGGATACCATTTCGTACCAAATGAAGCGGTTAGTTATATGAAGCAATGGTTAGTTCTATGCGGGAACGTTTCTGCGTCATGTTTGCTTCACTGCAATTAACGTAAAGCCGTTCGTAGAGTTTTTGTTATTACATGAGAATTACTGGAACAGACGCTCCATTACCTGTTCGATGTTTATGATCATGTTAATAGTAATAATAATAACAATATTAATAAGAATATTAGTTATAATATTGTGCGTTTCATTCGTGTCGATAAAAGTTTCTGCTTATGCTTGTTCTGCATTTTTCTCCTTTCAGACGGCGTGCTTCCAGGAAGAGCGTGACGTCTTGGTGTTTGGGGATAAACGCTGGATTACAAATCTTCATTACTCATTTCAGGATCAATCCAACCTGGTAAGTTAATTCTTTGGTTAGATAATCCACACCGCAGTGTGAAGCTATCAAGGGTACCATTATGTTGCATTTGATCCTGTGCTGCCAGGCTCCAGCCAACGTAAATAAACTCAATTGTCGTTTTTTGGGGTGTTGCGTTATTACTGTCCTATGTTTGTTGACAGTGAGGGTCTCTTTTTGAAAAACAATTTTTTATATCGTGACCCTATAGAATTTTATAGAACCCTATAGAAGACTACTGAAATGATGCGCTTTGTTGTTCTTGTCGTTAAGCTGAGGCGGTCTGAGCATTGCCTGAATCAGCTGCTTTCTTCGTACGGCAAAATCAATAAAATTAATTGGTATGGATGAGACCAATGGCTTCAACGCTTTCTCCAGCTTTTGAAACAAATCTCTCAAAGATTTCGAATCCGTTTTTCCGGACAAAAAACGTAGCTTGGAACATAAGTTAATCAAGTTATTATTAATAAAAAGAGCTGCAGTAATGAGAGAGTACAGAACGACTATTATCTTCCACGTGCTAAAAAAATCCTGCGAACGTCCCGCTAGAGTGACTAATATGGTGGTCAACACAGTAGGAAAAAGTCCTGAAGTCGAAATAATGCTAGAGGAATGGTACCGTTATTGAAAGCGTCCTTCAGTGCATAGAGGCAGGACGTACGTACTATTTGCAGGACAGAAAAAACAGACATGCATCGGATTTTAGCTATAATCGTTATACAGCAAACCTTTTATTTTTTATGTACGCATCATCGGATTTTCTCTGTTATCAGCGATGTTACTGTTGTTGGCGTCGTTTTCCACGTTTGTTTGCTGTTCAATGCCACCATAATCGCCGTTACAGTACCATCTGTTTGATGGAAAGTGGGGCAGGAAACATTATCTCCGCTTGCTCGTCGTATTATTAGCGGGTCTCAGTACGCCGCACAAGGCGGCATAACGTGCAGACGACAATGGTCATTATCATAGATTAGTATTCTTGATGGACGGATAGCAAAAGGTTCGGTCATATGCTTCTGCGATGATTCCTGTTTCAGAATTTCCACTGCATTTTTCGTTTCCATCTTTTAGTTTCCGCTTCATCTCATGGCCACTTTTCACACCTTCACTTTAGTCCTTCCCAAATAGTACATTATGTCGATCTTCGCTGCCCCACAGCTTATGGTCGGTTTCATTGATGATATAGTGTCTGGCAAGTCTTGACATAGGACGCGTTTTTGCCCAAGGTGACGCTGTACGCCGGCATCCTGCAACAGTTCAGCCACGCAAGCGACAGCGGATGAAATTAATCCTACAAGACACAGACTTCAGCAGTGGCACAAAACGTGTTTTTATATTTATATACCTGCGAATTTTATCTTATACTTTGTTACTACTGTTCTTATCATGATTATTCCTCTCAGTATTTCCACTCAGGCTACACTCTGACCATAAGTGGCTGGTCTCGACATCGAATTTCCTTACCCCCTAGGTACGATGGTGTCACAACGTCCATGCTACCGTAGCCATACTCAATCTGGATCCGTCCATGCGGTTTACGTCGACGTGTGTTTTTGCATTATACCCCTTATAACACAGGGTTAGTTAACTTTCTGCGTCGGTTCACGTAGTGAACTGTTTACATTTGGTCTAGTCGACGCGTCTGTCGCCGACTCTCTCTCAATTTCCGCATATGTCTGTGTATCATTCGGGCGCATACTCATGAATTCGAGAGAACATACAATACGGGCTTAGTAACAATACTGCTAACGATCCGACGAGTAGATTTGCGATGCTACCCGAAATGACGACACTGATTGACCAACTGGGTACACAATGTCTGCAAAATACGTGCTGGAATGGTGGCATTCACGTCCGCTGGAAAATGGTTCGTTCAGTTGTCTATTGCCAACACAAAGAGTAGTTCTCCCGTGAGTCCACTATGCCAGTTTTGTCCGGTCATAGGGCGGTTATTCGTGGAATGCGAATCTTTCTTTTTTGATGACTCGGATGTTATAAATAGCCCAAATAGCCGTTTAGCCAGAACGGCCGTGACAGCGGAAACGCGATCGGGCGAACGAGTCTGCGATCAGGACGATTGCTGGCAGTGCGGTTCAACGTATGGGTCAAAATAACTACAATTGTTTGCTAGCGGCGCAGCAATAGATTCACGGACATTGAACGGGGCCGTCTGTTGGCAGACGGTCAGCCGAAAGGAAGGGGATAACGCTGATCATCATCCCGTAAATAGCGGACGGTATCAATTAAGTTCATATCGTACGTTATGTACACAGATAGATATTAATCGACTGAATTTAATCATCTCCGAGCCTCACTCGAAAAATTAATCCCGTGGAGGCAGAATAGGAGAGGATGTGCTCACAGAATGAACGAAGAAAGACCAGCGGTATCATCTAAGAGATCGACTGGCGCTAAACACTGTGTTTGAAGGGTTAGGACATTAGGCGCAATCTGTGGACGCAAGTGGTAAAATTGTGCTCCTTTCAAAACCGACAAATTAATAATGGGCAAGATATCGGAGCTATTTTTTTCAACAATCGATTTTGCAACAACAATCGAAATTATCGTTGATTGTTGTTCCTTAAAGTTCCTTCCGCCTTTTAAAGTTCAACGTGGGGTATGGACCGAATAACTTCCGCTTTAGGAATTACCTGGGTCTGAATTCGCTTACGCCTACACCTAATCTCAGAAACCGCCGCAAGATAGAACGAAAGATGTTTTAATACTCATAATTTTTTGCGCTGCTGGATTTCGTCCTTTCGTTTAGCCCCAATGCTGACTGAAAAAAAATAGAACAGCTATTGTTATGATGACTTTAATAATCGGCTGCAAAAGTGAACGCACTCTATGTAGCATCCGAACACGACGATGAGCTGATACGCGACATATTTTAAAGGGAACTTGTCCCACTACACCGATACATCTAAACGCTTTGTCCATCCTGCCTCAAAATACGTACAAAAGAGCCGAATTTGGATTTAGCGGACCAGCTCTTTAAAACTGTAATGTGGTAGAACAACAAAAACCCGGTGCTGGACTTTTTTAAGTGCGATAATCAATGTATTTCGCGCGCAAGAACGTATCTCGTTCTCGCATCCGTCGAAATTGAAGAATAACTTCGTCTGGCTAAGCGCAAGGAGTCATCCTGTTTTCGTTCTATATTTTAGTGCATCCCGATTTCAATCGTAGTTTCAGAAGATCACATACATTACTATAATATGCTAGACGTAAAGATGTACATATATTAGGTATATGTCTAGGTTATCTATGGTTAGAGACACTTCAGAACATGTAGAATGTAGTTTTTGTACATAGGCTAAATTCTAATGATAGGTCAGTTTCATTGTTTCTACGCACCCCCAGCTATTTCAATATGTTTAAAAAAATGTTGCCATTTCTATGCAACATAGTGCACCAAAACTTGGTCACAGCGTTAGTCCTTGCTACATTATACAGTAGCTCGAAGTTCGAAAGCTCTCGAACGGAATTATTGGTTAGACGATGCGTTCGCTTCGTAAACTTTGACAGTCTTTGAAATGATAAAAAAAAAATGTATAAAATGAACTTTGGTGTTTATCGACTTTAGGTATTTTTACAGTTCAGGCATACTGGTGATAAAATAACTCACCATCGCTGCTTGGAGTCATTGCTAATTTGTAAATAAGGAAAAGTCAATTGTTTTTTGACTACGCTTATCATATGCACATCAGCACACATGCACACCAGCACACACGCATACCAGCACACATGCACGGATAGATGCACATTTAAGCTTTGCCGTTATTTGCGCCGGAGTGAATCATTTCTTGACCCCTGACTGGGCAGTAATTAATGCCACTGATAATGTCACCGCAAACTTGCTACGAGGCCATCACCGGAAAAGGTCGTAGATTACGATATAATGTTTAACAAACTAATAGCTCACAGTCACAAGATTCGCAGGTGCGTTTCAAAACCTATACATATATATATATATATATATATATTTTTCCTTTTGTTTTTCATAAGCTATGTTTACGGGTGTATATAACAACAAGTATGGCATCTACGAAGAAAAGCTACTTACTCAATGTTGGCCTAAGCATTAGTTTTATTCGTCAACATTGTTTTCCGAAAAATAAACAATGTATCCAGCATGAAGTGTAAACACTCAGAGTAAACGCTCAGATCTATCTGTGATACTAGAAGGGGGCTATATCCATTTTCCTCTTTAACCACCTAGATCCCACAGGTTTCACAGACGCCCTATTGTCACATGATGGCCTTTTATGCTCTTTGAGCATGCATGATTGTTTATTATTGTCCTATTAAATGCCCTCCGTTCAGTCCAGTATCCTTCAGCCCCATTACACTTCGACTCATTCCTGTTGCTATATATGGGCTTGACACTTCCATGACGAACTCGGCCCTTTTGGAGACGTCCGCCAATCCAGCAACGCACTCCCCTTCGACAAGTTTACGCCACCGCAGCTGCGTTACGGTCGCAACTGTTCGATGCGGGCGCTCAAACACGACAGTGAGTGACACTTAGCGTTACTCCGCTAAATCGCACGAAGTCTGGGTGACTACTAGATCTAAATTCGTGCGACATAATCAACTCCATTCTGCGACAGCCCCTCAACAAAAACACTAGCGGTTTCCTTTAGAGAGGACATTTTGTACTAGCCAGTTACGGAGCGCTCGATTGCCCACCCGCTTTGTTTGCCGTTCACTTAAGCCGCAAGCCTTCCGGAACGCAAGGACGGGCTACTATTTAATGTTTACTTTAACAACCTCGTCATGTTACATGTCAAGCGGCATTGTGCTTTGAAAGGCAAGAAGAAATCGTGTTGGATTGCGTACTACTGTTAACAGTAATTCTAGCCAGCAGTAACGAAGGGCTTACGAAATTATTGATACGAGTAAGAACTGGAGAGCGTCGGATCACGAATCGGATACAGCAACTTCAGAAGTAGCAAATGGTATGACGCCGTATCGTGGGCCTTTAGGTGGGCGGACGCGCCATGGAAAATACGGAAATATTATATATTATAGGCAGATGAATGACTGGGAACGGGAGTCGATGCAGCTGAAATTTGAAACGACAGGAAACGATCGATTTGTTGCTAAGTGCGGTGGAAAGTTAGGCTACTGTGATCGACGATAAAGTCGCAGCTTCCTTCATGTGTGGGAAAATGAGAGAAACGTTTAAACCTAGTGTTTCTCCATTGTTTATAAACTTGGTGGGTCGTTTTGTATGTATTGCCTAAACTGGAACCCCTGCAGTAATGATTCCACCATAGATATTTCAGTTGAATTAGTTCTTATGGGCGTAATGTTCTGGCGACGACGCGTATACGAACAACTAATTACTTGTTTTCTCTAATCTAATTTGATGTGGAAGCATTTAGTTACTGAAGAAGTTATAGATCAGATTTGCCAAGTTCACTTATTTAGTACAGATGTATGTTTTTTTTCACGATGAGACACATTGATTTGAGCTGATATTGCCATTTTGTTGATCTTATAGTATTCTGATTTACTGGGGTCATAGGTATAAACAGTAAAAGCCAGTGTATACAAAGAGACTGCCAGTTCCAGTAGTTAAAAGCATTTTAGTTTTCTTGAAGTTAGGTAATAAAGTTAAATAATTTCTGCCCGTAAAGTAACACGTGCAAACTAGACCTTCGTGCTTTCCTACGAAGCAGATTAACACTAGGAAAACATCTGGGACTCTTCTCGGGCAATAAGCATTGGATGATATGAGGACGAGCATGAAAATGAATTGTATCTTCGTAACAGCTTTTCGAAAAGCTTTGCATCTCACCTTGAAATCGATAACAGGAGATATCCAGGTATAAACGGTGCCGATTATATACTAAAAAAGCATGAAGCTTTCATTCAGAAAGAGCCCATCTTGACTCTGCTATACATGTATGTAATGTATGTAATTTATAGGAGTTGCGGATATATGTCAAAAAACGAATTCTATGTGAATCTAGCTGAATTTCGAGTGAAAACATGCTCCCATTGCGTATTCACTTAGAAGACCTATGCGTTGAAGTTTGCGCTTGATGTGTTGAGGCGCCTCCTATAAGAATAGCTATTATATTGAATATATGTGAAAAATAGGTTTACTCTTACTTAAGCTAACCGTGACATTAATGGGTATATCTAATTAACATTTATATACAATAAATGAAAGAGAAACTAATCCGAGTTTTACATTTATGAAGTAAGATGCCCATATTAACGCAACTCCAATTCAGCTTCAATTTTTCATTATAAGTGTGCTAAAATGTTTGCAAACATTTGATCACTCCTTGATCTGCAGCCGAGCGTATGAATGCAGGACAAATTTCAATGCATGTCCATATTTTGTGCCTTAGTATCTGGTGATGGATTACTACTGCGGTGGTGACCTTTTGACGCTCCTGTCGAAATTTGAAGATCGTCTTCCGGAGGATATGGCCAAGTTCTATATCGCCGAAATGATACTTGCTATTCACTCGTTACACGTACTACGATACGTTCATCGAGACGTGAAACCGGACAACGTATTGCTCGATGCCCACGGCCATATTCGTCTAGCAGATTTCGGCTCGTGCCTTCGGCTCGGAGAGGGCGGACTGGTGGGTACTATTGTAACGTATTACTTGACCATGAAATAATTTTGTTACGGATTAAACTAGCGGTATCCTATTTGGGTGAACTGAACCATCTGGTGAATAAATGTAGATGAGAAAGGGTTGTTTCTCTGGCCCTCAAGATTTTCATAAGTTTTTTCGTTGGCCCCCATTTAATTCTTAGGTTCACTCTCGAGTGGCAGTTGGCACTCCTGACTACATTTCGCCCGAGATTCTTCGGGCGATGGAGGACAACCAGGGCACGTACGGGCCTGAATGTGATTGGTGGTCACTTGGCGTTTGCATGTACGAAATGCTTTTCGGCGAAACGCCATTCTATGCTGAGAGCTTACTGGAAACATACGGAAAAATTATGAATCACAAGAGTTCATTTGACTTTCCCGAGGACACGGTGGGCGTGTCTGAAGACGCTAAGGACCTAATCCGACATTTGGTGTGCTCGGCCGATGTGCGGCTGGGCCAGAATGGTGTCGAAGATTTTAAAGCACATCCTTGGTTTTCCGGCATTGACTGGGATACGATTCGAGATAGCGAGGCACCATTCATTCCACAGGTGAGTGGGCATCGTCGAGCACGTACGTGCGGGCAATAGGGTTTCATCCAAAATTGCACGAATTCAATAGGGGACTCAATTCAGGAATGTATTGACGATGCGCGTTTTTTACCCAGCACAATGTCTACTAAAATTGTCAAATAGGCTGCAGTCATACAATTATTGCGGATAAATTTGCGGTTTATACAACGGTGTAAATAAATAGACCGTATGAAGTGACATCAGATAAACGAAAAACTGACTTATTTATTGAATTATAAAGTTATGTTGCTGGGGTCCTATTCGAATTGCACTATACTTTTAAGGATCAGAGATTTGTTTACGAGATATCCTTATTAAATTGACAAAATGAGGTAATAAATCTTCGCGGATTAACCAATTATCAGTATAATGCTCTTACCGGATCTGCACATACGTCTATTTCACGTCGGAAACAGGTAAGCTCGCCTACCGACACGTCGAACTTTGACGTGGACGAGCTGACATTCAAGAACGCGGACTCATCAGCTCCGCCATCGGCAAACGCCGTCTTCTCGGGACTACATTTGCCGTTTATTGGTTTCACATTCACGTCAAACAGCCAGCTGTCGGAAGGATTGAATGGAGGAGAAGAGACAGACACTGTGGATACCTCGGCGGAGCGGGACGAACTCCGGCGTCTACGTGAAGAGCTCAATAAAATGCGAGCCCGTAACAGTGAAATGGAAATCGAATTGAAAACCGTCTGCCTTTCCATGGCGGCGTGCGGTAATACTAGTGAAACTGGAGGCTCCGCAGCGGCCAACGGCGAGATGAGCGCCGTCAGCTGTCAGCTACGCGACATGGAACGTCTCATAACAAATTTGTCAAGAGATAAAGGTGACTTACAGGAAGAGCTGCGGGAGTCCCAAGAACGGATAACGCAGATGTCCAAAGAAATGAAGGATCAAACTACACAACTGAAAACGGCCATGTCTGAGTACAATGAAGTATCAGATCGATTATCAGATCTACGTGCTCAAAAACAGCGCCTATCCAGACAGGTTCGAGATAAGGAGGAAGAGGTCGAATCGGCTATGCACAAAATTGACACGCTCAGACAGGAGCTTAGAAAGGCCGATAGGCTCAGGTAGGTAGTTCATCACAAATGCCCACTGATAATGTTAAGGCAGCCATGGCTTTTGAACACAGGATTGGGGCACGAATAGGCTTACTGCGGAGAAAGGCTAAAGTTTACAAAAAGCAGGTTCATAGTTGAAACAGTAGAGTGATTGATGTATTAGGTTGCGCAATGTGTCTCAGGTAATTCAATGTAAGTTCATTTACAGATTGAATTAATAGTCTCAACGTTTACGTTTCTTCAAAATTAATTTATTTACTCTGTTATCTTATCAGCTATCAATACGGATTACCCAGTCTGACATATTCTTGGTAATGTTGTTTGTCTTTAATGCATTTGATCTCCCTGTTTTAGACGAGAGCAAGAAACGCTTGTAGAAGAAGCCCAGGCTGAAGCTCTGAAGGAGCGGAGGCTTCGTGAACGGAGTGACGAATACGTTCGCCATTTGGAAACGGAGCTCGAAACACTTCGTACAGGCGCTAGCGGAGGTACCAACGGAACCTCGAGTAGCGGGGATCTGATCGTGCAGCTCAAAGCTGAATTGCAGGAACAGGACAAGCACTGGAGAGAGCTTGAAGCTCAGTGGGGTAGCAGAACCCAGCTAGAAATCAGCGGACTTAAGCACAAACTGGGAGAGGTAAGAGAGATAATTTTCAGCCGTAGTTACGTTTCATGATTATGTTATAGTATCGCTGTAGAAGTCAATTTAGATTGTTCTTTTTTTTTTTTTTTTTTTTTTTTTTATATATTAAAAAGGCGCTTACGTTCTTGTTACAACCTTTCAGACAGCTGGAACAATTGCGAATAGTTGCTTATGTGTTGAGAAATATCTTTATAGTTGAGAGTACCCGGGGGTCGAAAATATCAACTAAATGAATTTTACGTGAAACCAGTCTTCCATTGTCGTCATCATAGGCTCCTCGTGGCACTTCTAAAGTTTTTGTATTAGAACCGAAACCATGATAAGACCATTGCGTGTTTCTATAGTCCGAAATAACTAATGTAATTCGATTTGTTTGTGCTGGCCAAGGACGCACGTTAAGATATCTATTTATGTAAAATATATGTATAGTATTAATAGGCACAGAGTACTGTTGGCCGTACAAAGCACACCTATACAATAAGTTTCAAACTGAATAACAGCTATACTGTTTGATACCAATGATCGGCTGTGCTCCGATTTTTTTAGCAGTCAAGCGGAAGTACAGTGATTTTCATGAGAGTTCCGAGTCATATGGAGGAAGCAAACATAGATAAGTATCTGACGTCATGTGCTTTTAGACTGGTCCACTTCTATTGAAAGACCAAATGACGACACTGATGCTTCACGTATTTTCTCGCAAACCATTGAACTAGCGTCATCTTTGTTACCATGATGGTAGTACCATGAAGGTAGACCAAAATTGAGGTTATACAGAATAACAACGTGGTAACTGTAATTGTATAGCATGCAAAGCATGTAGTGACAAAGATTTATTGGGTTGACGTTTCTGTTGCCTGATTAGTCGAATTTAATTTTGTTGACACCGTTAGCATCAAAACAGAGTAATGATGAAACCATTTATTTAAGCGGACTCAATAGATGTCGCGACAATATTATTGAATAAGATCATTGATAAAGTATAGGATAAGCGATGTGGGCTGAGTGGCTAAGCTTTCGAGCGCCCTGTCATTTCGCTTAGCATGTTGCTACGCTGCTTCAAATCTCAGCGTGGGCAAAAATTATTTCCAGATTTTAACAATAAAGAAGGAAGGTAACGTAACATTATTAAAGCAGCAATAGCTGCTAGCATGCTTACTATGCCGATTTTGTAGCTTTGTTAAAGAAGCCCCAAATACATCATTCCGGTTACACACTCCTAATGGGAAGCTTAATCGCCTCAAAATAGGTTATTTCGAAGATTTGCTTACGTAGGGTCAATAGTTAGTAATGCTAGACATAGAAAAATACATTTATATGTACTTGCAATTCTTAGTAATGCTTTATTTCTGTGCTATTATTGAGAGACGTTGTCTGTAAGGCAGAGAAAAATCTATAAACGGCAAGGTTAACATACTGTAAATCACCCCCGGTTGACCCAAACCGAGTCCTTAAAAATCGATTAGTATTTAATTTAACGTAAATTACTATTGGATTCGTACACATGCTGAAGGTCTCGTTTAAAAGTTTCAAAATGAATAATGTGTCAGTTTATCATGGGAATTTTAAAATCAGTTTTTTACGCTTTCGTTACTTCTAACAGAACTTGGCATGTATCAGTTGACTCCATGACGGTCACTGTACCAGTGCTGATTAAAAAAATTAATTAATTAATGATTAAAAGAAAGCGCTAATACAAAATATTAATTGTCGAGACTATTTTTTCTCGAGACAGTTGAAGACGTCCCTTCCAAATGTTATATCTATGTGTCATCGAATCCAAACGGGCCCGGTAGATTTCACCGGCGCATAGCACATTCTGCTATAGGTAACTGAAGTATGTAAAGTTGACTCCAAGTTACGAATTTTCTGTATTTAACGCGACATTTTTTGTCTTCGATCCCCAGACCTGATTTTCTCCATGAAAACAGGCTTAACAATGCTCGCTTGGCACGTCTTATGCCTGCCTGCCTGGTTTGTTAGCACTTATTATTTTTCAGACAGCAATAGATTTCTTATCAACAGCGTGTGCTTGTCTTAGTTCCATGGTATACGATTATGAGGAATGTACTCGCTTTCATCGACATGTCCAAACGGTCAAAGTGGGTCACCTTTTTTTTATTTATACATATTCAGTATTACCATTCCGATCTTGTTTTTGCCTCCTACAAAGACGCAACAAGCGAAGGAGCTATTAGAAGAAGAGGTTCATCGATTACGGCGATCTGCCGAGGAATCCGGTAATGGTTTAAAAGTAGCCGCCGGAGGCCGCAGCCGAATTCAAGCGCTCGAAGAAGAGCTAGCCCGTGCACGTAGCGAGATCGAACGGCTGGTCGCTCTACTACAGCGCGGAGATCAGGAAATGGCTGTACTTCGAGAAAAGCACGAATTCATTGCCAACTGGGAGACGCAGATCACAGGCGAGCAAAACATACGATATTATTATCATATACGTCTATTCATAGAGTAAACTGTAAAACATACATTTGTAGGCCACACGATGTTTCACAGTTCCTAAATTGAAACTAAGCACCTTGATTACTCTAGTTATTAGATATGTAATTTTTTGCTGCATTAAGAACGAAATAACACGAGCAGTTTGCTTGTTTGTCGTTACTTAAATTACAGAAATTATCCAATGGGTGTCAGATGAAAAGGACGCCAGAGAATACCTTCAGGCATTAGCAACGAAGATGACTCAGGAACTGGATTATCTTCGAGGCATCCCCTCGAGTGGTGGAGGAGCTCTGGAGCAAAAGAACTGGAGAAATCGACGCTCTCAGAAGCTCGACAAGATGGAGTTGTTGGCATTACAATCAAGCTTACAGAGCGAAATACAAGCGAAACAGGCGATTGCGGAGGAACTGAGTCAAGTGCGTGCGGAAATGGTTGCGCAACATAAGGAGCTTGAAAGGTTAGTTATACCTAATAGTATTGTATAAAAGCTGTCCGTCGTTGCCCAGTGTAGGAGTATCTTTAAATGTATGGTTTTTTTTACCTATACCTCGTGATAATATACGGTATATACTAGGCATATACGCGTTTTTCTCACCGCGCTAGCGCTTCTTGTGATACAACCATTTTTTATGCTGTTTTTTAACCAATTGGCATGTGCTGTACGCAATTTATTTAATTGCAGGCTCAGGCAAGAACTGGGCGAAAAGGACAAAGCGCTTAAAGAAGCAAAAAAGGAGCTTGATGAAGGGGATACTCTACTCGATCAATTTCTCAAGGATACAGCTGGACAGAGGGAGTCCGGTACACCTGCGCCACTCGTGAGCACCAGTGCAGCTCAAGGCACCGCTGTCGGCTCGAATTTGTCATTGGCAATGGGCTCAAGACCGTCATCGCGAAATCTCGTTATATCTTCGCCTATCCTTCAGGGAGCCGGCACCTATTCAGATGCCCTGAACAAGTCACTACAACACACGAACAGCATTACAACGACAACCATTCCCGTTACAGCTGCCAAGGTAAGTAAGATTTGTTGGAAACGGATGTTTGTCGTAGTGGTTTTAGCTCAGCTTGCTGGTCACGAGGGAACGCCATCGTCAGGTGGTCTCGACGGCGAACATTGGTCTAACCTTCTTCAGTCACTACAACGGTATAGGGCTGAAATGGGTGGCGTTTAAGTTTACTAACTCACTTATTTAAGGTACTTGATACATGGGATGTTCACTTATTGCGTGCTCTTGTTTGATTTTACTGGTCACATCCTACTTAATAGCAATACCTCCTTGCATTGTTCTGCCTTGCAGCTGAAAGCGCATCAGTTTCTGGTACGGTCTTTCATTGCTCCTCTCAAGTGCAACCAATGCACGTCGTTGATGCTGGGGCTAAGCCGTCAAGGAGTCGTATGCGAAGTGTGTGGCTTCGCGTGTCATGTGGCCTGTCAGGATCGGGTGCCGCCCCAATGTCCCGTGCCTGCGGACCAGCACCGTCAGGGTTTACTGGCGATTGACCCCACAAGAGGTATAATGTTTTTCCTATGTTTCTATTCCCAATGATTTTTATGCAGTGTTTTACATCGTTTCGTTAAGCATCGACTGGCAAAGACACCCGCCTCGTATGCTTGTATTATGTTCGCGTCTTTATACAATAATAGTTGTATACTAATTGAATTGAATTACTTCCTGTTCGACTATAGATATACGTAATGAAGAGGGCGAAACGACAAAAATAGCTGAGTAATATAATAAATAATGTTTCATTTTTCTCTCGAATAATACATATTTCCAATTCCCGGGCTTCATTCCCTTCGCCTCTATCCAGGGGTCGGCACCGCGTACGAAGGTTATGTAAAGGTACCGAAGGTAGGCGGAGTAAAAAAGGGCTGGCAGAGGCAATTCGTAGCCGTATGCGACTTCAAACTATTCCTTTACGACACCCAACAGCTAGCTGGGGGCCCGGGCGGCCATGGATCGCTTGGGCACGGCGCCTCCCTAGCCCAAATTGATAAAATACAACAGGCGTGCGTTTCTGCCACACAGGTATACATTCATACTGACCCAACCAACGTCGTGATCGAAATCATGCGTTTCTCTTAAAAAATTTCTGCTCGGTAATACCTTAGTCTCGTTGCATTACAAATGGGCCTAGTCGAACGATCTTCATGGTCGTGACAAAACAAGGACAGCTCGATATCAAGAGCCGTAGAAGCGCCGATGGACAACGATAAATCAACGATTATAACTGAACAAATTTGTAATTTTGCTTCTTTCCTTGCGTCATCAACTCTTCTAAAGCAAACATTATCTAGTTGTATTTTGATACTTCCCAGGTACTGGATATGCGTGACCCAGATTTCATCGTGAGTGCAGTGCTGGAAAGCGATGTTATTCATGCAAATCGTAAGGATGTGCCATGTATATTTAGGATAGCAACCTCCATGCTCGACCCGCCAGGTCTAAAGTCGATCACCCTAATGATGGTGGACCGCGAGAGCGAAAAAAATAAATGGGTCGACGCTTTGGCCGAGCTCCACCGGATTCTCAAGCGCAATAAACTGGCTCACCGAAGACTCGTAGAGCCGAAACAACTACTTGATTCGACGCTCAGCATAATTAAGAATTGCTTATCAGCGGTCATAATCTCGAAGGTACAGTTTCTTCATCTAAACGTGCCACTATATGGCAAAAATATTGTTCATACGGTCTCGTTTGATATTCTTTCATTTATAGGCGGCGTATAGCGTGCCGTTGGATATGGTGCGAAGCAGTATACTCAACGACACGCGAACGGTTTTTGCACGTCGTAGTTTGCCTTGCCAATAATCTAACCAGCAATTATTGTATTTCCATTCGCTTAAAGGAACGTGTCCTTCTCGGCACGGAAGAAGGCCTGTTCTGCGTCGATCTCGACAATGACGAAATTTGCAAAGTGGGCTATAACAAAAAGATCGAACAGCTTGAATATCTGCCTGAAGAGCAGCTAATTCTTTGCATCTCCGGAAAGCAACGTAACTTGCGTCTTATACCGGTCGCTGCGTTAGACCTCAAACACTCTGTCGACTGGATTAAGGTTTGTGTAATGCAATTCATTGATTTCCATTTAATTCATGCGAACAGCTGGCGTAATGTAATGGCTATTCCCTTCATATCGATCTAAACATGAACTTATCACTTCTACTCCAGGTTGCTGACACTAAGGGTTGCGTGACATTCTGTACAACACATTTGTTTTATAATCAACAGAGCACGCATTACTTCTGCGTGGCTGTCAAAAAACAAGTGTTCATCCACCAGATCAACCGTAGTAAAACCCGCCACGGGGGTCGTCAAGTCATCTCATTGACGGCGCCCGTCCAGTGTTTGGACGTAACAGCAGATAGGCTGTGTGTTGGGTGCCATGCAATATTCTATCTTTACAGGTGAGCCGTAGAAAAAGCACTATGTAAGCTAATTATAGAGACAGTAGCATCTGCAGACGGGTGTTGTCGATCTGTGGCGCAAATGATAGCTTTACGCTAACGAAGACTTGGAACACTGTTATCGACCACGACTCAATTTCCCCAATAAATATCGTTTGTGTATTGTGTTAATTGATGACCTATTCCGCAGTCTGGAAGCACTCTGCGAGCCTGTTTGCCTTGTACAACCTGATTCCAACTTGTCATTTGTCTACCATACGCCAATCGATGCGCTGATGTGCATCGAGCTGCCCAACTACGAGTACCTGTTGGTATTTAGCCAACTCGGCATATTCGTCAACTCGAAAGGGAAAAAGAGCCGTGAACGAGAGCTAATGTTTGCAAGTGCGCCCATATACGTTAGTCTCCGAGACGAGGTAAAGATGACAGCATAAGGGTGCGCGCACCGGATTTATAAGGGCTTTTGAAGCCAGTTGGTTTGACGCATAAATAGAAGAAGACTATAATATATTTAGCTTGAACGCAACGAGTTACTAATTTAAAAATGCATCTGCACCCTTGGATGAAATATCGAACTTGAAAATATTGTCGAAAATGAGATAGACTGCACATTTTCGATTTTTTCTTATCGAAGAGGCTAATGTACTTCATCACTTGCCAGGTGCTATGCGTATATGCAGAGAGCCACGTGGACTGTTTTGACGTGACCTCTGGCGAGTGGCTACAAACGGTAAACCTCCGGAGGACGCGCCCACTCAACCGGCAAGGTACACTATGTATCTCTCAAATTGGAGATCAACCCCATGTAGTATACATGCATCCTTCACATCTGCGTGATAACCTCATCATGATCGCAGATGTGCTTCACGGAGCTGCTAGCAGGTGAGCGGGAACTTACTTCAGGGTACTTAATGACTGGCGTGAATCTTTAATAAAATACATCAAAGGAGGTCTAATGCACAAAATACTCACTCAGATCTGAATTTGCTTTTTTTCAGACGGCGCTTTTCAATGCGAGGCGCTGATGGTACTCGAACAGTGGACCGTCGTTCACGTATCATTTCAGCTCCAAGCAACTTTAACCATCTGCAACATATGGGACCTGGAGAGGTACACAAACTCATAGATCTTCCAACGGTACGTCAATAACCGATTAGTGGAAGTAGACTAATTCGCTAAACACTTTGCAATGGCACGCAGACAAGGTTCTTGTGGGCACAATGTTAATCGTAGCTAAAATTATCGTCTGTTCCGTGTTCCTTCTGTTTTCGCTTTTACGGTTTTCTGCAGACGCTGCACGAGGTGGCTGCGCAAGAGGAACAGGCGGCGACAGGTGGCAAAAATCGCCTTTCGACTTGGTCGTCGATGTCCGGCGGAAGCAGTTCTACTTCGTCAACGCCTCGACCCCCTTTGCCTAATAAGCCTCCGCCACCACGTTAGTACAACGACAATTTCCCACACGTTTTCATAACCATGAGAATGTGCTTTGATAAAAAAACACACCCTTGTCTTTCTTTTATCTTTGATCCGTCAGCAAGCCAACCTCCTTCAAAACTAACACTTTGCCAATAACAATGCAGATGTAGAATGTGCCATCGTCGTTAACTGAACATGATGCTTAGGTATGTTCCGCAAAGCATCTGTTGATTCTTGTTACGCGCTACCCATTTATTCGGCGTATCTACGTACGCACATCATAAAGCCTATTATAGTGCCTATAATAGGCCAATTTAGTTAATTAGTTTTCAGATTGCCTCCAGCAGAAAATAAGTATAGCAAGCCTATTCATAGAACAAAATAAATATAGTTCACCAAACAGACGTTCTATTTTTCTGTCGCTGCCCATCTGTAGCAACCTGTAGATGAGACAGTGTTTTCGCAAGTACGCAATAATAGGTAGTAACTGCCATACTTTTAGAAATATAGGCGCTTGTTGTATATTAACACACGGTCTGGCTGATTTCGTTTTTGCTTGCCTCACCTCTGTTGCGCTGTTCTCTACGTTTTGGACTGCGTGCGGGGGTTTTGCGCGCAAACCCCTGTTTTTCTGCTCTCTGTGACAATTGCTGTTTCCGCTGACACGCTCACCCATGATACTGTACATGTCCGATACGTCACTTGCCGGTCAAATTGTCAAAACAGTCATTCCGGCGCAACCAAGACGGCGTGCGCCGTCATCAATGCGCTCGCCAGACTGTTCGCCATCATCATCATCCTGCGCCACTCAGCAGGATCATCGTTCATCATTGCAGTTGCACGTCAGTATCCTAATGACAACCGACAGTCAATACGATCTAAAAAGCCATGCTCATAGCTTAGCTGACGTTCATATTAACTAATTAAGCCACAAGGTATGCTTCAATTGTACAACGCGTCTTCGAGAAACACTTTGGTAGCTGGGTCTGTTTCGTAGCGATATGCCCCAGAAAGCGTGTATTGAACTTAAGCAACCGCATTGTAGTGTTCGGATCCGGCACTAGGCGACATTAATGTCAGTGATAGAAGACAGAACACCTTTTCGTTTGTTTGCTTTAAACATCTACGCTTATCAAGTCAAATACGAGCTTCATATCGAGTGAAACTTTCCCACTATCACATGTCTGACGTTTTGCCTCCAAGTCAAGTTGCGGGTCAATTCCTGCTAGTTAATTTTCTGTATTCTAAGGTTGCTTTTCTTGTTTGTCCCATAGGAGTCTCGGCGTTCGAGTCCGCGCCATTCGATCACTTCGAACAACAGCTGTTCGAGTATCAGTCCCCCACCATCACCGGACCCTCATTCTCAGCATCACAACAACAGTCATAAACATCCAAACAACAATAACAACAGCCACAACTCCAATGGACAACAACAACAACAGCAGCAGCAGCAGCAGCAGCAACAACAGCAACAACAGCAGTCGGCAACCATTTCAACTGGACAGCACGAATGAGTTTAGAAATCAACGACGCTCCTAACCCAATCGGCGTTGTTGCTGACTCAGCCTAACGCCACGTCAGCTGAATTGTATTTTTAGCCGGCGTTCCACAAGGCTCGACAATAGAGCCTTCTGAATGCGGCCTCAAGCATTTTGCTGATAATCACGATTATTGTCAGGGGTTTAGACTAGCCACAGTAACTTGGAGGCAGCTTGATATGACTTTACTTTCACAAGCCGCACTTCTCCACGACCGTAACTAATGTCTCAAATCACTATCTACTCAGGAGAGGCCGGTGAACGGATGACTTCTATCAAGATACAACAATATAATTAAAGCAGAATGGATACGAAAGTGATTCTGGTTAGTATTTGGTAGCAAGCTGACGTCAGTAGCTTAGATGGCTATGGCTGAAATACTGCTATCCGACTGAAGCAGCTGCAAGCCTAAGCGAATAAATGATCCAATCCTTCCACGAGCTGGAAGAAGTTGCCTCTTCACACAAACACAGGCACATACACACACGTCTATATATATAGCTCATTCAAACCAGAATCAGGTTTCCCCGAATAAACAGAAGCTTGCTAGCACATGGAAAGACAAATTTCGACGGAACATTTCCTTCAGAACGAACGATTTCGGCACAAGATATTAAGAGGCCATACACTAGCGCAAAAAATACACTGGGAGAAATAATGGAAATACACTGTTAGATACTGGATCAGTCTAGCCGAGTGCGTATAATTTCAATACACAGTGGATTCTATGATCGCAAGTGAAGAGCAATTCCTTTTCTTTTACCACCTTCGTCAAACGTGCGACCGGCAAACTCAGTTTGCCGTTAATAAGGATTATGGTAGACCATATAGGTGATATGCATATGTAACTGTTACGATTAGTACGCTCTCTTCATCCACCATACTCCCCCTTTCACCGCAGATACACGCATTTATATATATATATAGAGCCAAATCTTCATCTACATTGATGCCTTCGCGAATACCTCTTTCAATTTTTGACCTAGACTATATAATAGATCTGATTTTAATACAAACTATTATTATTGCTATTATTTATTTGTACATTACTAGGTCGGCGACTGGTAACTGTGTAGTGCATGCGTATGGATATCAGTTATGACATGTTTACGATAATACTATTCATAATAACAAAATTAGTTAGTAAAAGAAAGGTTTATCATTCATTAAATGTATGTTCGGGTTTCTATACCATTGTTGTTTATCAATGGCAACTTTATGGCAGATGCCCCCGTGAAGACAGTGAAGTTCTACTAGGATCACTGTTCATTTTTGTATAACTTGATGTGGTCTCTGATATTCGATCCATGAACAATGCAATATCGATGATACACGTGTGAGGGTGTATTGAAACGCTTTTTTATTTTTTGTTTACAGAAAGAGCTATTGTAAATGGACATTTTATAAAAGCACATAGTTCATTTATATATGATGACTAATGTATATATATATATATATATATATATATATATACATTAGCCCTAATTTAACCCTTGGTGGTACTATTTTCTAAGCACTTGATAACTATGTAAGGAACCCATCTGGCCGCATGTTGGTCATCAGTATTACGACAAAGATCACGAGTGATTCTTAAATTAATATGAATATATTGTCATACGACTGCTGTAACAATATGACTGCACAACGAACGTCGTATTAAACTTTCAACATATATTTTACCCGTATTGTACCGGCTGCCTACCTCTGAACGCATCAAAGAGTGACATTATTTTTTCACTAACAGCAAACAATATTCATCATAGGCCATGCATATCTATTTAAGTTAGATGACAAAGTAGGTTGTATTTCGACAATAGAATGGTCTGATGTCAGTGTGTCGCATTTTGCGGCTCGATCATATATTGTTTCAACAGAGACGCCGGTCGACCTTTTTCCCTTACTCATTGTTAGCCCTGCACCGCAACGCATTGAGCGTATATAGCATATGTTATGAAATTGATCGAAAGACGACAAAGTCAACCTTATGAAGATTTAGCTTTTGTACAAAGCTAAATCTCTTGTTTTTAGAATAGATCGGCCGACAGTCGTTTAGGATTTACATGCCGTGCGGATAATTACTATTCGTTTGTATTTGTAATTCACTGGTTTACGAGCTAATACGGGTGCCCGAGTTACGAATACGGTTTCTTTTCTTTTAGGCAGACTCGACGTAGAGACAGCGACAGGGAACGGATTAGGGTGTTTGTATTCCTTATTATTGTCGTTATTTAAATACGCTTTAAAAACTGTCTCGGCAGACATTACTTTATTTAGCCAGAACTGGGTTTTATTCAAACAGCATTCTGCATTTTGCTCGGAAGTCGCTGAAAGTTTCGACCAGTTCTGTCTGGAGCGGCTGTGTAACGTGTAGAGAACATCATCATTTCACGCTAGATACTAGTAAGGGCAATAATAAAACGAAGGCTAAACGATTGTGCCACTATTGTATAGTTGATATCGATTCAGTTTTTGTCGTAAAATTCATGTAGTCACAATTTGAAATAGCGCGGGCGTGAAGAATGCCTGTAGTGTTCTGTTTGTTATGATAAGACTACCTGCCGACCAGTTAATACGGCCCGTTCGTTACACGTGAATAACATCCAACGTGTTCCCCGCGCAAAGTAAGTTCTATAATACCAAATGGCTGTACAATTAGTGTTGGGTCTTTTGAGATTAGCACAGTTTTTTTTTTTTTTTTTATCTAATAATCGGCTTAGTGGCACATGCGTACAAACGCCAGATCTCTGACAAACTGGAAACCTTTTAATTTTATTCAAGTTCACATCCGAGTACACACACACACACACATTTATATATATATATATATATATATATATATATATATAGGTTTTTGTAATTCTAGAATGTGTTTTGACTATAGTGATCATATGAGCATACACAGCTGACAAACGGTCAGGACATTTGGTGAACTATGTGCCTCTGTTTGTTAATTATATATTGCTATACATGATACTTTTAGATAATCAGTATAATACGAACAAGAGTAGTGAGTAGTGACAAACACATAATAGATAATCTACGGGTACCACCAGAAATATCATACTAATAATCACGGAGGCAAACCGTTACATATCTCACTGATTCGGAACGCCGAGGCGACTGGCGCAATGTGGTACAGATATTAAGACAACGAACAATTGTACAATATGCCCCCTAACGACCTCGGAAAATTTATAATAGAAACTATTTTAATTTATTATTTAGTACTATGATTATTATCACAGTGAATATTATAATTAACACTGATTGTTGTCATTATTAATATACTTATTTTTTAGGACTGAAAATTCCTCGTCTTTTTTTCATCTTCTAAATTACCCAACTTGGCTGCACTTGACGGGTCTCAAGGTGCAAGTCTGAAGTAAGCTGACGACAGTAAGAGAGTCGGGCCGTCGACGCCAATGAATAGGTCGACATATGTAGTAAGGAGGCAAACGAGAGGAAAATAACATGACATAGAAACAATATAAGAAATGATATTGGTGCCAGGATTACGCTAATCATCAATTACCATTATTATCATATCACAGACATGACAGCAGGCTAGTGCATAAATTATGCAGCAAAATACGGGGCAGTCGAACGGGAATCGATTGCAAAAACGCGAAGCGAAACGCAAACTGTCACTCATCGTATACACATGAAGGTAAATATTGCGATAACCATTGTATGAATGTCTGAATAAGGTCAGCAGCCGCCAGTGTAGCTTGACCTTCGACCATTCAGGGACACTGAGAGATACAATAATATCGACTGCGTAGAGATATATGGTGATAAAGGAACAAATAGCTAAAATGAAACAAACGGACAGAAAGATATACGCTGTACAATAGACAGGCTCCACTGACGGATCAGGGCCATGCTTATGATGATACTACATTCAGGGTGTAGTATCATTTTATTAAATGCAGTACATACAGTATATATATATATATGAATGAAACGAATTATATACAACGATAGGCGTCAAGAGCGAGGGACAAAGAGATAGAAAGCATGAAAAGATCATTGTGGTATATAAATAATATTGATAATGATAATATTATGTGGCGAGTATGATCGAAAAAAGGAGCTAACATGACTCGAAAGATCTAATAAATTTTGCTCATATGCGAATAAACGCATACTTATTAGAGATAATTTAGCGTGATGCCATCAAAAGGGAGTGGCCTGACCCTTACCGCATTCGATCTAAGGTGAGTCCTCTAAATGCCGGGTGTTACATGTAAAGGTTAGAAATAGAACGAACGCTTTTAGATTATACTTTGATCCTAGCGGAGACCATCGGAGGTACGTTCCGTTGGCAGTGGTGTTATCGAATATTGATTTTTTTGGCGGTAGAATCACCAAATCTCGACGAGAGAGCGGGAAGGAACCCAGATTTTTCACACGATTTGTGTCAGAACATTTGGAAGGTTACTGAAATACTCATAGAAAGAATTGCGCCTCTCCATCGGATGCATCTCCATCGAAATCTGTCTCACCAGAACCTTGTAGCATTAAAAAAAAAAAGCCTCAACTACCGTATTTATAGAAATTAGTCCTCCACAATTTTCTTTTCCATTACTAAAACTTGAGCAATATTTAGAAAAAAAAGATCTGAGACGATAGAAAAATCCGAGACAATTAAGGGTAGAGCTGAGGGATTAAATTCGAAAGTTGCGCACAATCCGGCGGGGATTACTTAAAAGGGTCAACTAGAATTTGAACGATTAAAGCGTGAGTAGTTCACACAGAGCCAAATTATCGATACTGTTAATGCAGTAAAGATCGTAAATATACTAATGACAATAGCAGTAATATAATTATATACCAGTAGTCGTGTGTCAGTCATGTTTAATGTACTTGGGTATCCAAGTTGCTATATCTCTAAAATTTAGGAGGCACAATGACTCTGTAAAAATTTTGGCTTTACGTAATTAAATTAGCACGCTTTGTATCTGCTAACCCTCAATGATGAAGTAAGTACGTCTAACTCTCGTGACTGCGATGCTATGAATAACATCATATATGTGTAAAAAAATCGTGAAAAAAAAATTATAAATTGCACGTCATGAATCTTAGGTTGGTTTAAATGCGCCTTTCCCTTTCATCTCTTCACAGCTTGTTTCCTTTTATATACCATTAAAAGTGTTCTCTTATCCGTACATGTCCATTGTAATTTTTTTGCGCAGTGGATGAAATTTTACGTAGAGTTCAGATTCCAAGGATAAATGTTCCTAATGAAAAAGCGAATTGCTCTTTTCTACGAACGTCGACCACCTACAGAAGCAGCCGGAAATATTTATTCTGCGAAGTTCAGTAATAGCATTCTGAAGCAGGAGATTACACCCAACCTTGATCGGCCATCCAGGTTCGCTCAAGACAGACTCAAGGTGCTTTTGAAGGCGAATAGCCGGTGAATAACTTATGAATCGGGCGAGACGATGAATCACGATCATTTCGTTATCGGCAGGCATCTTAAATCTTACGCAAAAACTAGAAGCCTCGTGCCTCATGAACCAAGTATGCCAAGCATAAAGAAATACAGCTTTCAGTTGCTTTTCAACGTTTTATTTGGAACCTGGTAGTACGCAGCTCTGACGACAGTTTTCTATATAGCATTGTTACGGGTGACGGGAAGTGGTGCCTCCACGCTTATATGAAAAGAGCGGGTTATTCAGGGAGACACACCTAACTTGGACGTACGCTGGACCGGATTGCCATTTGAAGAAGCCTATCATTTGCGCTGGGCCGAGCGAAAAAAATTTGATGCACTAGGTAATGCTAGAGAAGAACAAGACAGTCGACAAGATGGGCATGCTAGTCGTCCAATCGCATCAACTGGGCGAGCCTATTCACCAGAAGCAACCCTACAGATAAGACAACGTCATCCTTTTCCCTGACAATGCCTAGACTGTGCATGGTAAAGGCGGCTAAAATTGCCCTGCGGGAGATTGAGTACGAGCTTCTTTTGCCATTGTATTTTTCAGATCGCGCGTCAACAGATTATCATCTGTTATCATCTTTGGCAAGTGGGAATCATAGCAGCACATTGGACAGTGAAGATGGCCCCAATTGGTCAAACGAGTTTCCTAACCCCAGACATCAGGATTTTAGGCAAGACGGCAGTAAATAAATTGAGAAAGGCGTGAAAAGGAACAGCAAATACATAAGAGAATACAAGTAGGAATGACAAATATCTTATGAACAAGCTATCTGTCATCCCTACTTGTATTCTAGCTTATGACGTAACAAGATTACGTTATCAAAGAATTTTCCATGTTTACACTAAGCTTTGTCTCACACATTTACTCCATTTTCTCGAATCCCATCTACATTCGAATACTACCCTGCTTTTCGCTTGTCACGCTATTTGTACTTGTCTGATACGTGACATGTACAACGTCGTAATATCATTTTCATGTTCAGCATACGTTGACGGTTCTAGTTCTTGTTCAAAATAGGTCTCTATTCGTGATTATTTTACCCTTGCGTAATACGCATGAGCATCGTTACACATCTATTAAACTGCCACGCATACAGCGAGAACTACTCTAACATGGATTAAAACACTGAATTGTGCCACTTGTTCACTTGGAGTTTATGTGTACGATGGCCTAGATATGCCTCAAATACGCTGCGCCTTTCGCTGTCGTCGTCGTTTTTGCCTCAAACACACTTCCCGTCCAGTCAATACGAGAATCACTTCACTATTCGCGCCAAATGCTATCGTTTCGATTGATATTTGTCTTTTTGTTGTCTTAGTAATTTTAATCAGTTGCGTGTTGTTCGAGCACTTGAATTAGCTTGAAGCTGTACAGTACAAATCAGAAAAAAAAAACAGCCCTCTGAGGTAGCGTACAGAGTTGAGATAGGCAATGCTTGTGGCCGTTGAGTTGATAGAGGCTTACGGTAAGTGCATTAAACCCGTTGCGCTTGGATACCATTTCCCTTTCGCCTCCGCCTTCAGAAGGTAACATTCTAACGAAAATCTTCGTATTGCCGATTGCCGAACCTCTAATTCCTTTGTCCTTCTAAATCTACTTTTAATGTATTATTTGACAGCAACTTGTGGCACATTAGTCTGCATTAGAGGTCGGGAAAACCTAGAACCTGTTTTGAAACACAGAAGTTAAATGTATAGGCATTCAAACTGCAAAGAATAATGAAGTCATAAATATAATCTAAGGGAGAATAAATATACAACTGAGAGAATAATATTATGGCTTCTTATGTTGCTTTAATACTACTTGTGCACGTTATAAATGAATTAGAATTCGATATGTTTAAGATGAATCGTTGGTTTTTTTGGCATCACATATACTAGATACGTTAGAGAAAGTTCGATATAAGAGGACATGCACAATTCAAAAAATAAAGTACGCAACTAACGTTTTTACATGGCCATATCTTAAATAAATACCATCTAACTAGACGGAGTGCTATTTTCTGGTGGTAAGTTGTTTGTAAAATAACCAATACCTATCACTTCAGGCAAACGAGTCCTTAAAGTGTTAGCTATCTGGAACTGTGTGGATCTTTCTAAGGAGCTAATGGTCTACTTTCCGAGCGGTATGATAATTTTCGAAGCTGTAGGAAAGGCATTGGTATAGCGTCCAATTGTTCTCGGAGGCTTCCAGCGATGTCATCTGTGTGGGCCAATCCACATTTCACTTTTCCATCAACTTTTATTGAATAACTTTGCACTATTTATCTTTTTATATCCACGTCATTCGTTTAAATATAACTGATCATCCTCCCCGCTGTCCGCTTTCGTTGTTGACTCTGCGATGTTACCGTTGATGCTGCCTTTAAGACTAAGCGAATTTTGCTGGTTTGAATGTTGTCGGTTAAGTACCAGCTCAGAGCGAGGTCCCTCAATATACGAGCCTTTGAAGTTAACGAAAGGCGTAACCAGTACAATCAAATCTCCGCTGGGAAGATCGTCCGGATTCACCTTAATTATTATTACAAGATAGACAAGTTAATGCTTTATGAAGTTGTTTTCTTCCCGCGTGTGTGTTTTTGTCTTGCCTTCTATACATGTATGTACACTTTAAGCATAAGATACTATTTGAAATTAAATCGTATGTTTACAGTATTTGTGTGTATTTATAGAAATGTAATAAACATCCTGATTTCTTTAAGCCCAAAACGATTAATTGAGTGCATATTCGACTTATAGGCAAGTGCGCGCATGGGGCAAATAATAGTGTTGTGACTGTTGCGTCATATTATACATAAAAGAACTAGGCCATTGTTTATTGCCTGTAAAGTAATATAGATGAATCCTCAACCCATTATATGATACAAAAAATGTATAAAAACAAATAAATGAAGCGTTACTATTGTATCTGAGCTGTAAAACCCAACCAGAGATCTGATACTTCTTTGCAGCTCTCTAAAGTGTCCCCAATGCGTAACTTCGAAGTCGTAAGAACCATAACTCAATAATGCGCAGAGAAAAAAAGCTACTTTTGCCAGTGTTTTACCTGGTAGTATCTATCGCGTCGCCCTGTTTCAATATTGCTGCATCCCTCAATGGGGTCTTCGCGGCTTTTGCAAAAGGAGACAATAAATCCGGAAGGCTCCCAGTAGCTGCGATATCTCCAGCTTAAAAGAGCCTTATCCTCGTCCCAGTCGACACCTGCCAATGGAACCGGTGCGGGCTGATAGGTCGGCAACGTTATATTCGCTGCCGACGTAGAATCGAACACTCCGTAGCACACGTCCACTGTGATAACGTACTCCGTCCAAGGCAGTCTGACGCAGTTGCATTATCGGGTGTCAGTTTTTTCTTTTTCTTAGTTGCATATGTCAGATGTTATTTGATGTTTTGAAAATATTCATTTTTTTACAGTTTTTATTTTATACGTCCTGTAGTCTGTTTTTCAAATTTAGACAACATTGTGTGTGTATTTTATTTTTTATTTGTTGTTCTTTGCACTTCAAGGAAGTCAGTTCAGACCAGGTCTATTCACCATTGTATATCTGATAATATATCATTTTAATAATGTATATGTGAAACATACACTAGAGGGAGAATCGTTTTGTCAAGCTGGTCAACGTCATAATGCTGTGTTGTTTATTAGAGGGCACGTCGCGGTCATCTTTAAGGATATTTTAAGAACCTTCCTTAAGGATAAACATAACACATTTAAAGAAGCTCGTTTCAAATTGTTGTTGAAGTAATGCTGAACTGAACTGCTTCTACTGAGATCTAAAAATCCCATCAACACACCTTGGGTTGGTTATTTGAAACAAGTAATCGATCTGACATCCATATGAGATATAGACTAGTTTATTCTCGTCTTTGAATTTTCGACTTTTATAAAGCGCCTTGATACTGGAGTGTTCATCAAAAAGTGCGCTACGAGATAACCGTACAAGACACATAACTGTGAGCTAGAAGTCACACAATGGCCCATATCAAATGTTTTGATGGCACGTTCTGTTTGCAATCGGCTTTTTTGCTGGTTTTCAATATGGCTGATCTTACGATACCTATAAGAAGTCATCCTCTGCTCGCTAAACATACCGATGAATCAATCACAAGTTTGAATCTTTGAAAATCGAAAATATCCCGAAAAAAACCGTACATGAGACAGAGTGCATGTAGAAAATGACCTAGTCCACCTAGTAGCTCTTTATTGTATATACTTGTATAGTCTTATTCTAGTCTAGGGTCATTACAAAAACCTAATTGACTCATGTAATCAAGGTATTCATGCAGTTGAAGTTTGTGTGACCGGAAAAGTCACGCCTAAATGAGTATTTGAAAGCTTACCTAGAGAAGCTGAACGTAGCGTTTTCTGTTGCCACTGTGAACTTTTTACAGAATTTGGCCTCTTGCACTTCTTCATCCCAAATAGGCAGTCGTGTACCACAAATATTGACGTGGTACTCGGTCACCTTAGATAATTCGGCACCACCTTTGTAATCAATTTTCACTTGGATCTTCAAGAGTTCGAAACGGAAAAAGAGGAACGTTGTTAAACTTACTTATTGCGAAAATTTTCTTTCTAACTACACGACACTGAACAAGCCTATAAACCTATAATACAAACGACTATTCACTATGTGGCTAATCTTCAAGTAATTATCTGGAAGTATACGAATGAAATTTTGATATTTCAATAAAATTATAAGGAGGGTTCTATTTTTGGAAGTGTTCAATAACTGTTGTACTTCGGCATTTCGTTTCGGCATTTTCTGCTTTAAGACATCTGATATTATATACCAGAAAGTTAGGGTTTCCACGTAACGCAAAATATGAGAAAAATTTCGATAGGGAATAGATGGAATAGCTAAAGGCGATAATCATCACCGACGACATAATCTAACTTGCTGACCTACTAGTATCATAAGTTAACCTACATAACCATACCAAAACTATAAGAATAATATGCATTACAGACACAGCCAGTAATTACGCTATAACTTAGTCCTGACCTATGTGCTCGTTCCTTGTACGTGCATGTTTCACTTGGTCAACAAATATATTACGTTATTTTTTGGTGGTAAAGTCGCAACAGCCTAGTGTGGAAGAAGCGGGAATACTACTTGAGAGGCCTTATTTATGAGTCCCCTAAAATATAGCACCGTTCTATTTGGACATTCTTATAAGCAGAAAATGGAGAAAGATATGCGACTGTATCTTATAACTTTTATTTATTAAACTGAAGCGATCCTTCACGCTAGGCGTAAGGGCATAGTAATACATAGATTGGGCATAGTTTTAATTACTGTTGTTATATATATATATATATATAGCTAAGTCATATATATATATCATCTAGCTCAATTACAATAATTATTTCAGTAAATGAATCTGCTTATTTGACAGGAAATCTAGTACAAGGAAACGATCTGTGCCATAAAGCCAGAGAACAAACACTCATTGACTTACGTCCTGCGAGTCAGCATTATTTTCCGTCGAAAGGCTGATCTTCTCAGGTATCTGTGCTTGACTGGGTACGTAGAATGAAACCGCGCGCGGCTCGCTCTGTATAATTGTATCGCGATGCATCTATTTATTGAATGGAAGAGAGACAAGATGATTTTATATTTTATATTGATTTTTATTGTCAGTTTGTAGTAATATATCACGATTTTGACATATCGTTCTACTCGAATCAACAGTTCTTTGTATAGATTATAGTCGAAGCTTTGGGTTGAATCATTGTTAACCCTTGTTAGTTCTAAATGCACAACATTTGTTGAAGTTAAGTCTGACTTCAACTTGACTCTCTGTCTATTTCGTTTTGAACCAGCATCTACATCCTCCATGCAAAACACTGCCACAATTGTCAGCATCATAGCTGCTATAACTAGGCCGTACCTGGTAAAGAGATTTGCTATTGCTTAGTGCAACTTGAAAATATATACTGTACAGTTAACGAAGAACCGGTGGCCGACTCATGCTAAATTAGGACGTGTTACCCTTTAACTATGTATTCATTTTAACAACCTTTCCCGTTTGAATGGAGATGTAGTAGACGCATCCGTTTTCCAAGGATGTAAGGGTTGCCGATTTGCTGCTATGTGGTAATGATGTCGCTGAACAAGTGGAGCTAGACCCGCTCTGTCCCGGGCGACCGGATATGCATTTGGTAAGGAGAAAGTAATCTGGCTCCGGAATAGTCGCATAGGTCCACGATACTATCGTACCTTATTACCAAGATCAGATAATCATAATAATAAATGAATGACATTTGGAACCACTTACGTGTCGATACCCTGTCGGCTAATTAGTTTATTAGGAGTCTATGGGGACTGATCTCAAGCAGCGTCAGAGTACTTGAAGGTGCTAAACATAATGAACCGATGTCGAAGTAAAGGCCGCTGGCGAAAACATTGGTGCATTGAAATCTTCCTGAAGGTGTTATAAGAGAACTTATGATATGAACTTAATTGCTCGCTTCGTGTAAACAACGACGAAAGATACGGCACATCAAGAAAGTGTAACACACACGCAGTAACTCAATAATAATCTAATCAAAAATCTTGTAAGGCCACAATAAAATCAATAAACTTCCGACTGATGCTTTGATTGATGTTGACGGTCTGTTACCCGTACCACATCATACCAGAATTTGGTCTTTTTTAAATTTCGTATTCAACGGTGAAATTAAAAATCAAAATGAGTTTTGCAACTTACTGTTTGTACTATGAGATAGTTTCAGCGAAGAAACTGGAGGCACAATGCCTCCTAGTTGCGGTAGTTGGAATAGCTCCTCCTTCTGAGCTCTGTAATGATTACAACTTCAAGACGGATCGACAATCAATCATTATAATATATAGAGCACGCGTAAAGGTCTCTGAAAATGAACTCTTGATACTTGATTTGTCAATGATCCTTGAGTAAATAGGGAAATCCTATAAGGCGTCGCAAGATTAGTTATGACACGACTCTGTAGGAAAACAGGTGTTTTCAGTGGACTTGCACGTTCAACTCGATCGAATGGCCGTGATAGGTCAAACCGACGCAAATTCGGTTGTCGATAGAGATCTACTGCTAAAGTATTTGCTAGTTTTCGTTCTTTATAGAGTGTTTGACGAGATAGGAAATGTGGTTCATAAGAGGATTGCTCATGCATTAGAAACGCTTACCAATAAAAACTCTTGGAAAACGGTATTTGTGAACTCAATTTACGTCAACTCTCTATTCATCCGAAGCTCGAATGAACTGAACCGAAACGTCTTCGATGGCCTTCCACAGGAGGATATAGAAATGGAATAGTCCACATTCAAATATAGCTAGAGTAGTACCGTTGTGAAAATCGTCCAGGATGACTAATATGAACCAAAGGACTGATAAATAACTCTATTATTATTTATGTCTGGTAAAAATGTTTCTCAGATGCTGCACCTGATCGTCGTTCGAAGCTTGAGAATATATGACGTCCAAGGCAAAATGTTGCCTGGTCCAAGCGTAAGGACAGACTGGTGCCCCGATAGCTCGACCCATGCCAAACAACTTACGTTATCTCTGCATAGTTGATACTGAAAAATCAAATGATTGACCACAATATATGTCATTGCACAATAGGTTTGATTTATATAATGCAATTCATTGCTTATTGCCGCGGGCACGAGCGAAGAGGTAGATACCCTCATTTTGCAATAGCACCGATTTTACGATGCTTAGAGGAATATATATATAGTTTTAACGTAATGAGTTGTTTCTATATTTATACGCCAAAACGGTTTTCTATTCAGTTCTAATAGAGTATGGAGGAAAAAGATAAACGTAAAAACATATCCTGTACACATTTACATATTTATAGGATAAAGGAAAACAAGTGATAAGTCTACATTTTAGTAGTGTCTAATTTTGTTCCAAAGCAAAAAAAATATCTCCAGCTGGTAATCAAGCCTAATAAAAGGATACATATTACCTAAAGGAGCAAACTGTATCCGGGTGCTGAGTAAGCGTGCAAAACACTATTTCATTTCCGAAAAAATTAGTCGACTACGTGTTTGTATACAAACGCTTGCTCTGATACAGGGTAAAAGTATATATATATATATATATATATATATATATATGTAGAGGAAACTCTATTCTCATTTTTCGTATCAATTCGAAATCAATAAAAAAAAATTCGCATTTTATCATCTGCGTAAAATTCGTCTGCTTCAAAGTTTTCATTTGGTTAAAGACGAAAAAGTATCCCCGTAGAGCCAAACATATCATTCTTTTTGTACCACTTAAACGTTGGCTGAGCAATAGAGGTATCAAAACAAACTATGGAGTATTAAATGAAAATGAGTTGAATGAATCAAAATATACTCTATTCTGCAATCATGATATGAATGAATTATAAAAGACTGTACTTTTTTTTTTTAGATCAAATCAAATATCTCGTCAAAATTCGACAAGTAGTCGCTTCACTGACTCTCCTTCTAGTGGCTCAAGCAGCGATAATAGAGGTAATTAGCGATAACAGATGCTTAATATGGATATAAGGTAGTACCGCACTGTTGGGAAAGTGTACATTATTTGCAGTTAATTTATTTCTGCTAATAGCAAGTTGTAAGTTAACTACTTTTAACTCAAATTCGTGTCAAATGCCTGCGTAGAAAGGCCTGCTTGATTCGATCGAATACGAAAGTCGATTTTTTTTATGGAAACGCCTTGAAAAACGGAATCCCTTACCAAATTTTGAAACCGTAAAGCCCATCGAGATTGAATACCTTGACCAGAAAAGAAAAAATATGTTTGATGCAGTAGTTGTCTTCCGCCTTTTCCCACTTTTTGCACATTTCTTTTTAGGTACAATTTCTGATCGGCCTGAACATCCTCTTGGCGGTAATATGAAATCAATGACAGCTTACTATAGCCACCAATGAACGCCTATTTTTCCGCATATGAAGCTGTTGGAGGCTATACTAAACTTCAGAGGCTCTATTAAAATTTTTACTGGACATGATAATTAGTTATTTTTTTAGATTTTATATAAAGTATAGAGAGAATGAGGCTTTAAGATATCGATTTATGTACCTAATGACTTGAGGCTGCTGGTAAAATTTTTAAGTGATCTCAACGCTTTAGAATCTTCTATTTACAACGCCTCAATTATTTAGGTACTAACCAGCAGTGATTGCTTACCTCATTAGTAGCCGTTACGTAATGATGGTTCAATGACGTGTTAGTATTAAACTGAATACGAAGAGAATTGCTTTTAAATCCCTGATTTTTTTGTTCATCACATGAAGACACACTAAGCATTAAGTTGCGAATAGAGTAGTACTTGTCATAGCAACGAATTGACTGACGCTCGTTAGGCTTATCCAGCTGACGTCTAATTATTACTTGATGCGTTTTTTGAGCCCAAGGATCAGAAGAAAACCATGTCGTGAGTGTACAATTCAATTCAGTCACTTCATCTGACATCGACTTAAATACTAGAAGATTGTTAGAGCCTGATAGATCTATCTTTATTATAGGTCTGGGACCCTCCCGAGCGGCGTAACAAGCCACCTGATGACTAACTGGACATGGCCATTTAGAATTATTCCATTGAAGCTTAATGTCAGAACTTTGATCCTCCCCCTGAAACTGAAGATCGGGCAGCTCAGATGGTAGCGTTCGTTGTTGTGATGCTACTGTGAGTGCGCTGGACCTGTTACTCTTCGGCTCAAAAAATGCGATTACTTGTACCTCGTATTCGGTATCGGGGTCAAGACCTTCGATTGTAATATTCGATTGGAAACCGAAGGACAAAATTTTTTCTTGCACTAGAATATCGTTGTTGACAACTTTTATCAGGGATCCGTCACTGATTTCTGATAACCACCTAGCGTGTAACGAAGTGTTGGTCAGGGGACGAACCACCAAATCTCGCACAGGCGGCGGAGCCTCATCGCAGAACGTAACGCCTTCAACCGTTGAACTAACTGTGGCATCCGATGGCAGTGTTTTGATTTCCAGGTGATATTTAGTCCTTGGTAGTAAATTCCAGGTAGTAAACGAATTCACGTTTGCCTTAAGTTCGTACTTCAAAACGCGATGTAATGAATAATGGCTCAAACGAATGACGAGCTCGTAACTATTGCAGAAATGACACACATCCCACGTGAATTCTAAGTAACTGCGCGCAAGATGAACGGTCTCTCTGACTCGAAGAGAGCGCACACGGTCGTGATCCAAACGTATCTCAGCAGGATTCACGGCGGTCAAAGCCACGTGTTCATCAGCTAGGGCTACTTTTCTAGACCATATTATTAAAACTAAAAGCCATGTTATTGAAATAAGCACCCTCATTGCGTACCGAGCAAAACGTCCTTATGGCGAAACCAAGATTTCTAATGTATCTTGTTGCAGCACGGCACACATTTATCGTGATCCTGCCTTACATTTTCTTTGGCTGTACCGTTGGCCGCAGGGAGCGCTCGAGGAAACTAAAGTAATGCAAGGTGACTCGATTGCTGTAAAAGGATGGAACGAGGACTTTTATGCCTGTTTCAGTGCTTTCTTTAAGTGCCGTTGTTCTGGGTGAGAGTGCATGTATCTAATCGTCTGGTGTCGTTTGATAAATCGTGTTCGTTATCGTTTTTCGGTACCTGTTTCTACCAGGATGCATCCCAAAATAGATGGGTTCTGACATGCCTGTGTCTTGGGAAACTCTTAAAATGTTTAATTTCTCTTATTATGCAAAAAACGTAAGTTTGTTTGTACACGTTTCTTTTCAAACCGTCAAAGTATATCCGGCACTATGCCAATAAAACATAGTGCATTTCGACATAGAGTTCTAGAGGAAGGAAATGCCAAAGTAGAAAACCCTCGATTACACCTATCATATTTGAAATATATGATATATACTGCTAACTGGTATCAACAGAGATTAATATTAATTTTTTACTTTTCTGCATCTGTCGAACAGAGACATGCAGGAAGCCTTAAACTGGCGTTGATGATGTGATACCTAAGAACCCTACGGCAAACCTTTCGCTCATAGCTCTCGTTCCCCTAGGCTGGAGTGCTACGCTATAAATGATAAGGACCACAGGTGACAAGTAGCATCACAAAGACCTTGCTCTTGCCACTCGACTATCGCATGGCAAGTTATTTCATTCGCTAATAATGCATTGTAATGGAGGCGGCTGTCAAATCGCGCACTCGCCACCAGCCAAACATCAGCAGTACATAAAGCCTAAGTGTCACCGATCCTAAGCTGGCTTTCATTCAACTATGAAATCGTCGTTATCTCTGTTAAAGATGTAGTGGAAGACATATAACGTATATTGTAGAGAGCTGGCAAAGCGTCCTGCACTTGCCTCGTTCGGCAAAGCTGAGATAAGAAGAACCGATTTTATTGGCTAGAACTGATCCAAAATAAATCGTTCCGACAATGCCTCGGGAAATCTTATCGCTATCTTCCATTGCTGATTAGTGCTTGTTTTTTTGCACTACATACTCGTTTCAAAATATACATACACTGAACAGGGCAATGATCTAAATATTCAATAGTATTTGCAAATTGTAGTGTTCTTCAGCAGTTAAATAGTTTGTTTAGCATTCTCGCTCAGACACTATTGTGAAACGTTTTTGTAAAATAAACAACATGTGTAAGGCAAATAAGCATTACGATACACCCTAATTCATTGAAATCAATTAAAAAAAAAGATCAAAGGTGAATTATTAGTGAGAAATATTAAAAATAGCCAAAATACTAACTAACGATATCAAACGCCAAACATTTAAATAGGGCAAAACGCATTTCTGTCTCAGCAGGTACATTCAAGTACTTGCTTCCCACACTTGATCGGGTTAAAGCGTGGTTTCGAAGCTATAGTATAAGTGCAAACTTCATGTAAGGACGCCTGGTTGTTCTTATACATGTAAGTTGAAGGGAAACTAGCTATCAAGCGACTGACGTGCTGTGCTGCGTATGCTGTAATAGGGTACCGTTTTTAGTTGCCCAGATATACGCTCAATCAATTAAGCGTCGGAAATAGAAAAGTAGCAGAAGTAGATGTTGCAACCAGCTTTATCTTGCTATATATGTGCCCCTGTTAACAGTGAAACAACATGGTCAGCATGCAGCACATGCTAAGAATTGCAAAACAGTATCTGATCGATTAGATACGACAGCCGATACTTTTCATTCCAGAGTCTTTCTATAAATTGTATCCTTCATCAGTAGCTTTGATTCAATGTGGTGCGAAATGGGGTAACTGCTTTTTAAAAACACAAGTTTTTTTTTATCGTTGTCATAGAGAGGTAAAGAAAACGACGCAGCTTATTATTTATTCGTACGAACAAAAAACGTGAATTGGTAAAATCTTCCAGAAGAGCTGTACCGAACTCACGTTATTCATTGAAGTTGTAGTTGAATAGTATTACGTCAATTTCTGAATTAAATTCTCTCCGGAATTCTTGCGCTTCTTACAATGAAAACTACGTATTTTGCAGATCGTTCGACGTGTGACCTCCTGCATTATTTTCCACGATCATCAATAATTATATACTTAAAAGCTAACGTAGGGAGCAGACCAGTGAAAATGGTTGTCAGTTGCCAACGCGTCAAGATTCGTCCTTTAGTAGTTAGCAGCAGTAACAAAGCAGTGATAGTCGACATCGGCCTGACGTACATGGGAGCATTTAGAGATTTTCTCGGGTTTAGACTCACCTATTATTTGTTTTTGTATTTCAAATAACGAGGGGCGTCACAGCACTGATCTTTAAACCTAATTTTTTATATGTGAACTCTATAATTACTCTCTTTATTGTAAACTGTTCACTTTGTGGGTTCTCGCCATCGGTGAGTAAAAGCCTATGGCACGCTTGACCTTGCGGGTTGTTAAAGGGATCTTTGTTTGGAGATGGAAGTTCACATCTGCCGGATAGCGAGGCTTGTTTCCAGTCATCTTGAACGGTCCAACTATTCCCGCATTGCGACGGCCGGAACGACGTAAATAAATCGGTCATTTCAATGTTGTCTACGTTGACAGCAAAAACCTGAATCAGTGTCGTTCTGGCTCGGATTCAGCTCGAAGCTGAATATGTCATACGAACATATGTACTTGAGATAAGCCGATATGGTTGCATTGGATGCGGTAGTCATTTATGTGGACATATCAACAAATTACCGCTCATGGTAATATCAGGCTTGATCTTTTAATTGCTTAGGTAAAGCACTATCATTCACTTCACCGTCAGTGCGTCGTCCACCGTCGACGTGTTCTTCTTCCCATGCGAAGCTTAACCCGTACCGTAGGTGATGTTCCATTGGTAGCTGAGTAATGTCAATAGACCGGAAAAGGCCCAAGCAACGGCAATTAGAGGATTGGTATGATTCGTCGAAACGTCGAACGATTGGTTTACCAGTTCGGCGGAACATTATTTTTTAATCTGCCACCTAACAAAGCAAATTTAGAGAAAAAGGGTACACTCCGAGTCTTGCTTATTTTTACAACTGTATATTGTATAATTAATTGTCTTATTTTATGCATTTGAATTGAAATTCAGTTTTAGAATTATACTGCAAGCCCGCCATATATTTGTGCGCTTACTACTTGTTGTATCAACGACACAAATTCTGCATAGTATAAATAAATGACGAAATTTATTGCCTTTTTGAATGAATATCATAATAATATAAATATTTAGTCTTGCTCTTGTATGGATACGTTTGAGTGGAATTTTCTTGGTAGGACTTCCAACAATTGTCTGTCTATAGCACACGATCTCGTATAACAACATGGCTAGAGGGCAGCTCGAACATTGATAACAGCTCTATTTGTTGTTTGCAAGGGCCGCTCCTAAACGCACAGACACACACGAAGTTGTGCTTGATAACAGGTCAGATTATCCGTCATTTAGCTTATTTAATGTAATTTAGTTGAATAGGGGTGCTCTACATAGCTGCGTAAAAAGTAACGTGACTAGAAACGGTCAATTTCCAGCTTCGTGCTTTTCCTTTTTATCGGTGTAAGTTAATGTATCTCTGGGCCATCGACTCATTTAGAATAATTTTCTGCAATAACGCAAGCTATGGTCGTAATCGAGATCACCCTTACCCTATCGTTATTGTAAACTTCGAATGGTGTTATTGATGGGGTGAACATCGCATTTAAGATAGCTAACAGCAAGTTCTGAGCACGCTTGTAAGCTCAATTCAATTCAATGGTTCTCGCGGTACCTCCCTATCAAAATGACCGCTAAAAGCCTGCCACCTTTTGAAGATCTGTCAGTATTTCGAAGAATCATCATCATCGCCATCGTAGTCCTGTCGATAAGCGTCACCCTCGCCGTACGACGAAAAGCTACTATGGTCCGACGGTGAACTTTTCCAGCTGCGCGAACAACTTCGGTTAGTAGTCAGTAGCAGCGTCTGGCTGAGCGGCAGGCAGGTAGCACCGCAATCCAGCGATGACGGAACTGGTCGGCGCCGCGGGGTTCCCCGGTCCGAGGAACGACTTAATACAATGATAATGCTGTCACTAGTAACGAAAAACTCGTGCTACCGACCGACGTTGAGAATTGCGCTTGACCTTCGCGGCCGTTAAGCTGCATCGAATAGCGGCTACCCTGGTAACTCCTACCAGTGCACGCTTCACTGAGAGCTGCGATCAACGATGCATACCTACCAAATAATGAAATGAAATTAAAAATCTAGATTAATATACAACCCTGTAACGGCGAACGCGTGAAAGCGAGTTCATAGAAGCCACCCAGCTGCAGTCGTTAGGGATGCAGGGATATCTGTTGTTAGTTGGCATGTGACAGAGTCAAATAAAACACTTGGACACATGTCACGCTGAACCGCGTTCTGTAACTTTTCAATAATGACGTTTTAGACGTAGGTTCAGGACAAAAAATCCATTTACCTTACCTGAAACTGAGATTGTTACCTCTTAAGTAATTGCTCCAAGGGCTGGCTCGCTGTACGTCACTTCTGACACATTTCCGACACGTTTCTCGTCTGCAACCCATTGCTGCCTTCGTACTATTTTTCCGATTTTGCGGTTAGCTGCATGTTTCCAACAAAACAAAGCTAGATGCACACCAGTTCAACCCATTTCAACATGCTCCAAACAGAAACTACTGAAACCATTATGCTCAATTTTCCCACAATTCTAACGTATCATAATAGCCCATAGAAGCTCAGTGGTGTATTATACGGCTTGCACGTCCAGAAAATGCTCAATACATACCTCTAATGATACTGTTATGTTTCTAATGATAGCTATGAATTGTTTCTAGTATCCAATACAGCTCATTGATAGTGGATATGGTCATATCGTCATATTTATTTATTTAAGGCTTATCTAGCCACCTTGTCGTAGCGTATTAAACGATCGGTGACCAATACGGAGAACTTGGGGATTAAACATTGGTTTTAGCGCCAAACCCCTGTCAATGTGCGCTCATCATTGTTTTATTAGTGGCATAGCTAGTGTTGAATACGCTCACAAAAAGTAAGTAGGATAAATACTAAATGATGATAATCCTCCCGAGTCAGATTACGTACGATTTTCTAGAAGATCTATTCATATCGAAGGGAATAACTCAATTCTTCCATTCATAGCCGTAGTTAGAGTGGAAATAACAGTTGTATTACATAACAAAGCGAAGGCACCCAAGAGGAAAGCACCCGTTATTTTTTGTGCTAACTACTTATTTTCCATATAGATTCTTTTTTTAATCTATGAGTAGGGTCTATGGTTATCCACCAGTTTAGCACACGATTAACCATTATCATAATCTAATTAGTACTATTCCACTTTTCCTACGGTTTCTGGGTTTTTTTTTGCGTCTTTTTAGTAATCATTGTTTATTTTAGGGGTTGTCGATCGAGCAGTAGCGGTTCGCATTCGTACTAGTCGTAGTAGTAACTTTTGACTTTGTTGCAGAGTATTATTATTTACTATCATCCGATAGAGGTAAAATACCTACCACAGTAGCCTTAAATCAGTTTACACGGGTCGGGACTTCCGGTGTTATCAGCGACACGCTGATAATACCCGACCGACGAGCGATTTGTGCAGGAATAATTAGAATTGACCAACTGACGTAATGGAGAGATACCTCCGAATGTGTTTTTATTTTTACATTTCGGAATAATGTTTGTGTTCTCCTGACAATGGCCTTCTTCGTTAAATATCGATGTAGCATTTATATGGCTGTTTCTATTTGCCTCGTGTAATGTAGTAGGGTTATGTCAATATGATTGCTCTTGTACTGCTACAGGCCACTGCTCATACTACAGTCATACTCTCTTGATAATATCATTTCATCAATTATAATTGTTAAACTGAGTTTTGCTTTTTAACCGTCATTCAGTGATACCCTGCCCTTGGTTTCGCATCACTAACTATAAATATTTAGCGGCGTTTTATGGATATGATCGAACTGAATTTTGCTCACTCGGTATAAATTTCTTCCTCTCTCTTGTATATATATACGAACAGGGTACAGAGACATCAATGTGGAACAACCTGTGGACCTTGTATAGTGTCACGCTGGACACAAAAACAGCTCCTATGGCTGTGGATATAAAAAAGATGACTCGTCTTGGTTTTTCGAGTCGGTACAAAAAAAGTATTGGCTTTGTATCATGAGTCGGTATAAAAATGAAAAAGGAAAAAAATGCAGATAATTTATCAGTGTCGTTAGGCGTTGTCGTCGCAGATTTCAAATGTTTGTTTTCATTTTCTACCATTGTGGAAAAATAACAATTCGTTGCTCCCGTAAGCCGCAACAGTTGTATTTAGTCTGAATAACCACTGTACGAGGCTCATCCAGTGTGCTTGATAGCGGCCAAGGTAACTTAACCAGTCTTACGAATTACAGTCTTCACATTGCAGTCTTATTTCATTTACTCGATCATTACCAATTTCATCAATGATTCAAATAAGATCAGCCACGAGCCGTAAAAACGTTCCATTAGTGAAGCGTACTGTTCGTTTTCTATCAATGCACAGTTACACGTTAGCATAATTACAGTTAGGGAAATAATAATCATAGGACAAAGTAATCATTGAGTGGATAAGAAAGTGTGTTCGCCCACTTTGTATACTATTACAGGTTATGGCGAAGACGCGCTTTCGGAATATGAATCGTTAGGTCGGATTTGACGTAGAAAATCGAATGGCCTGGTGATTCGGCCTCACCAGGCCATCTGTAGGTTCGAGCAATGAATTAAATCTCAGTATTACTGCAATAACCGCACTGTAGTTCTTACTATCAGCTGTACGTGGTATCGCTAGCGTCAGGGAGGAAGTCGTCGAGGTTGAAGCGGTTGTCAATGTCGAATTCGTGCTGATACGCTAATAAATAGAAGTAGCGGCGAACAGGGTTGTTAGGGTTAAGTTGCTGCTGCTCTATCGCCGTCTGCTAATGTCGCGTCTTTAGAAAAGCCCTTTTTTCTTTTCCTTTCTCTTTTCCTGTTTGCGCGAGTCCAAAGTGCTGACAATGACCAACGCGAAGAAGCAGCGGAACGAAGCCAGCGGCAATGGGAAGGCGGTAGAAACGTCAGATACGCAATGACGCCGATAATAGTGATGGGCAGCATGAATATCAGGGGCACACGCAGAAATCGAATCATAACACGGCAAAAAAACGGTTAGAACGTTAGTTACATTTTGGTTGATCGGCATGATCATGCTAATCAAGTTAGTGGTAAATAAATATATGCTAACAGTGGTAGACTGTGTGAGTACGTGGGTTGTCGTGTTTAACAACGACAGTGAAAACGCTTTAACGTTTATATACATATATGTATATATAGATTACATTATTTCGGTTAATATGTGCTATTGCTGAAGCATTAAGATGTTGTCCAAGTGAAAATTGGGCCGAACAATAGGTAAAATATATGTTAGAAAACTAAGATGTTATCGCACCGTGCAAATGCCAGACATTCCTTATATATCCATCAAGTTCCGTCCAAGCTCTGTCGACAAGGGCGTGGAACAATCATGTTTGATTGATCCGTACACAAACAAAGGACTTCAGTCCCTTTAATACTAATCGAGCATATTACGAATCAGCCTGCCATAAGCAATCGCGATGGATAAAGTTAAACTGATATCACAATAGCATGGTGAAGTATCTGCGACTTCTTGTAGCTGAAAAAGTTTCTGTATAATAATTGAGTTTCGGTATAATAAGGACTATTTTAACCTGCATTTAATCGGATAATTTCAAGTAAACTGGCCTGCTTCTTAAATCCGACGTATATTTCTATTTTTGTCTGTCCGAGTTTTGTGTTGTCTTATAAAGCTGCTTCTAAGAGAAAAAAAAATAGCTACTGATAATGGGGGCTAATAGAACCTAAAATGGAAAAATCTGCGCCATGTTTAGCCGACGTCAGCATCATGTTAGTATCTGCTCGTAACATATTTTAAACTGGTCCTAACCGTTGCGCAGGTATTATTGCTCAATCCAGGAAAATAGGCACTTAGCGATTTCAGCCTTTTCTAAACTTTTCACTCAATGAAGTAAATCAGCTTTGCACCCGATTTACGCTTTAGGTCGGTACTGTCTGCAATATAGCAGTCCATTTTCAACCTTAAGCTTACACTTATTATTGTTTTAATGTGTGCCATCTGGCGCAGGTCGAAAAGTTTCAGTTTTTACGCACAAAATACCTTCACCGATTGCAATGGGGGCAAATTCCTTGTATCGGCTTATTAGGTTCTCATCGTGTAAAAGTATTGTGGAGGTAATGAACCTGTCAAGGGTCTTATTGTTATGTGTCAATTATCATACCGCTTTGTCGACGCAGATTATATATAGAACCTGATAATTGTTATTTTATTACACTGTCTTTATTTCGCTCGTTTCCTGACTATGTAATTCCCTAAATCTTGCAGTATCGCAATGACAGTTAAATGTGACACTCACAAAGAAACCATCTCGACGCCAAAATGACAAAGAGTAGATCCTATCGAGGTGCCCGGCTCAAATGTTCCCTCAGTAGGTTACGAAGAAGGTTTTAAGAGAAAATGTGGCACTGTTTTAACGCATACATATAATAATACCCTATGTCAACGCCGTCTTAAGATTGTTCTAAGATTGAAATTAGTTTAAAAATTCGACCGTAAAACTAGATTAATCAAGCTAAAGTTATCGAACGTGTCTTTTATATATTGTGTTTTCCTAGCTGTAAAGGGAAAATACTGAAAATTTTTTTTTTAGAGCAAATCCAATTGACTTGGTATATTTGCAACTGGCAATTAGATCGAGGCTCGTTAATAATAAACGGATCAATGAATAAGTGCTACCTACGAACTAACCCTTTTTTTTTTTTTTTTTTTTTTAGCAATTTTGCTATAGGACTACTATGAATTGCAAATGTTATGGATTTTCAGCGAGCAAAAACAGTGCTAAAAAATAGGTAAGAGGCCACGCGATAGCCTCATATGCATACAGGGTTGTAATAGTTCAGAACTCCCAGAAAAATACGAATGGTAAAAATCTTGCGGGCCTTATTAGGTCATTAGTAAATTATGGTGGACAGATCGAGGGTGTGTCGAATGGATTTCACTAAATAAGAGCAGCAAATATGGAAAAATTGACTATTGTGTACGGGCATTTTCTTAATTGGCTCAATATCGACTGCATCCCCTTTCTATCTACGTATCTAAGCGACATGTTCTAAGAAAACGAAGGAAATGTTGTTTCGATGAATCATTGATGTTAAATTGTCCTTCAAACATGCATGTAGTAAAATAAACAAAAATATAAACGAACTAAGTAATAAGGTTTATTAAGTTCTCGTTTCTTCTGTCTCGCTGCTTGACTGCTTCATCCACTAATATTTGTATATAACAATTTGTTCCGCATTTGCAACAGTCAACAAGCGTCAAAGACCAACTAAAAGCTCCTAATTATTCTACACAATTCCAGCTGACCTTTGCTTTTTCGAACTTTAAAACATAGTTAGTCAGTAATACATTCGATCGTTCAGTTCATTTTCAACGAAGAAAACATCACCACTATTGACTTTCGCCATTTCATGCCCAAAGTCTTCGATAATAATCAGTCAATCAATCATCGTAAGCACCAGCCACATAGTTAATACCCTTTGCTTATGGCGCACATCAGCTATGTGCGTCTGGAACTTACAAATATTTGCTACCAACGAGTACTACGATGCGTTATTACATAATACAATTTCATGTTATGATGGTTTGCTGCTGCCTTTCTCCATCACGACCACAAAGTTCCATTAAGCGGCGCCTTCGTACCCACCAAAACATTAGTTATGAGTGGCTTTTGGGATTTAAAGGTCCGTTGAGAGTACGACAATGTTCGGATAGTCCTGACTAGGGTCTGGCTCGGTGGTTTTGTTGTTAGTTTCTGTGATATATGTGTATTGTATATATATATATATATATATATATATATATATATATATATATATATATATATATCATCTGTATCTTTCTGCTAGTTCTGTGTACGTGCTCTGAAAGCGCAGTGGCGCGCCTTTAACATCTATAGCAGATTTGACATGCGTAGGTAGCTCTGATACTATTTATGTTTATTGGAACCCAGATTGCAATATGTGTATATTAGATCCGCTTCTTTATTTTTACTCCGTGTACTGGCTGTTCTCGGCAGTCGTGGCACATTGAATATAACTTTCATCCGCTTTGAAGAACGCTGCTCTTGCCATAAACTTCTCATCGGCAGTAGACAGTGAAGAGCCAGCTGCCAAGTTAACAGTTCCGTTTAGCGCCCGCCATATTTCTTTAAGCGTACGACAACGTCATAAGTATTTCTATTTTCCTGTAGTGCTACTAGAATCACATCTGTACAAAATTCGGCCTGTTAGTGAACGATCTTGCGGGACGCTGATAATCATTAGCAGTAATCAGGAAGCTTCTGTCACTTACAGCAGTGACGATGACTCTAACTCCCTCTGAGTAAAAACGCTATCTGGTCACGCTCGACCACCATTAACTTCTGCATACTGCCGTTACTCGACGCGCATTGGAAGCTTTACATGTAATTAAGCACGGTGCGAACTAACTTGGAATTTTGCAAGTTCTCTTTTTATTGACCAGTCTCTCGTTGCATTTTCGTGCACAATAGACGTCTATCACAAATGGAGGCTATCGCAGTTCCTGAATTTCCCGTTTTGAACAATCGCTCAAAAGGACAAAGTTAGCTCTCACGACGTGACGCCTCCTAATTTAAGTCGCAGTCAATACAGCTGGAGGAGTCACGAAAGGTGCAAAGTTGTGCCGAAAAACGACATAGATGCGCGTTGGGACAAGCTGTTACGAACTGCCATTGATATAACGATATTCAACGCTCAAGCAATTCATTCCATCTGCTGCCACTGCTATTGTTGATTACATGACCTTTTCGAATGACGGGAAGCACCCCGTCCAAGATCGTCTTGGCCATCTCCCGCGATGACGGAGTTTCCTGATGGCGCCAGAGTGAACGACTTGCTCAACTTTAATAACTCGGTACTCTTCCATCGCTTTATTTTAGTTGGCTTCCTGTATCCCAGGCAAAGGTAGAAGTCAGTCAGCGGAAAAGGATGATGGTTAACAACAGTTAAGTATCGTCGGACGCAGAAGTCGTTAGTGGTGTAGTTGTTGTTGGTAATGGTGATGATGATGACCAGGGTGAGCGGATGTTGGTTTGTTGTTTAACAGATATAGATACAGATATCAGAAGGCGCACAGATCGAAGATTGAAGACGAAGACGAAATGGGTAAGATACCAGAGGATGAGAAGTTCCAAACGGCGTGCAGAAGCGACCCATGGAGAACCGTTTGAAGGACAATAACAACCGGTACCGAGATGAAATATAATGAAAATAGCAAAACTTAATAGTGGAAAAATAGTAAAAAAATAAAAATTGATAAAACAAATGAGAATACAAAGGCAACTGCAACCACTGAGTAAGCGTTGAATCATTATTTAGACAGACGCGCACGTATACATAGAACAATACGACAACAAATAACACTGAACTCAATGTATGAATAGTAGAAAGCCTGTAGTGTAACATGAAGATTCAATCAAGTAATGACATTCTATGTGTCCTTGTGTTTCCTATACACAAAAGCCGAATGTTTTGGGTTTTACGTCCGGTATTGCCGATAGGTGTTCCATCAGACGGCTGGTTGGCTTCCAGCGCTGAAGAAAGCGTGTCCGAACCCAGACACGCTACTCGCTACGCCATCATCATGTACACATAAAAGTGGCTATTTATAGCAGCGGTCTTAGTGTATAGCTGGATATAGTAAACTGGCAGTTATATACCTGTAATGCTTGAGCATTATTGGCGAAAAAAGTAAGAAAAGTGTGGCACTATCGGTAATGATTTGAAGTTAACTTAATTCTATGTGCGATTCGGAAAGCAAAATTGACGGTTTGTAGATACACTGATAATTGTTAGTTGTTTGATAGTTCATTACACATTCATCATATTTCCGCATCATTACCATGGGAAAACTATGGCTTGTACGACGACGAGCATCCGGCCCCAAGATGCTCCATATAGCGTATCATTGATTGTTGTTGGGGGGATGCGCTTGACCGGGTTCGAGACCATTGACAATATTAATTCTTCTGGCTTACACTTCAATTAAAAACGATCAGCAAGTACTTTCCGAGTCAAACAAGGTAGCTCTAACACAATATTATTGTCCATACTTGCAATAAACAAAAATCACAGTTAGCGCACACAGAATAAAGCCGCTCATGAAAAATATAAGCCATATAAAGTTTAGATGGCAGAAGTACTATAAATAGTCCGCGGAAAGTGGAAAATCAATAAGGCAAATGGGCATTTTCCATTTTACGGAAACTTTGATCTACAAGCTCTAGTCTAGTGTTGAAACATTGCATTGTTGAAGTACTAGAATAAAGCATCAGAGCTAGAAGAATACCAGATTATGAAGCGCTCGATACTGCTAAATTATTTTCTCTGAAAACACACAATTGCCCGAGACGCACTTCTTCGCGACTCACGAAATACAGGTATCTCGTTTTGATATTTGAAATGATATATTTTTTTCGGGGCGAGGAGTCCTGGCCGCTAATCCAGCACAGGTAGTTTGCGCATTTTGTTGAAAAGCTTCTATAATGATTTGAACAATTTCACATACTGGTTATGTAGGTATATAAAGTAGCCATTTAAGCGCAATAATTAACAAACCCGAAGCAAGTTTTAGTCTGTTTTCAATAGTCTTGAACAGAATTGCAGTTACTTACGCAATTAGCACTTAGATAATCCGTAAAGCTACCACTGGTGAACCTCTAGTCTAGTTTTGTTGTTGGCGTGTTATCTTGTCAATATTTCCATTAGATTTGTATTATATGCATCTTGGAAGAGTCTTTACTTTAAATGCTGAATTAGTTCTCGCTATTAAAATCTATTTAAGTTCCTATTTCCCGGCTGGAATTTTTGCTAGCTAAATTTCAGAGGCCAAGACATAACGTGCAGCGAGACACACCTGTTGCGATTATCTTAGTATGTTCTAAATGAACAAGACGCGAAACTTTTACAACCAGACTGATTCGAATCCGATGCGGTCTTCGCAGTATTCAGCTAGATTCGTTTTTAGGTTTTGTCTCGGACAAAACTTAACGAAGTATTCTAGCAAAGTTTTATATTTAGATGTTTAAGTGTCAAGTTCTGCTTTGTTTTTAAGACGACTTCCGAGACTGGGCAACACGAAGACACAAAAAATATGGCGCTCAATGCGTACGTATGCTAACTAGCGTTGATTAATTAATACTTTTTCTAAGTAAAAGCTGAGATACGACATACTTCCTAGGCAAGCCAGAGGATTCGTTCACTTAATTCGTTGATATTCCGATAAGTAATATCTCTTCATACATATTTTTATTTGGTCATAGGCGCTTCATTCGTTCGCCAAAGGTTAGTTGCAGGTCGGCATATCGGAACCGACCAACATTCCCAGAAAAACGATGGCCAGCAACTAAAATGGCAAGCGTTGGTGATTTAGTGAAAAGAACCTCCACCTTGTTTGCTTCTTTTTGCTTAGATTAGCAATCAAGTTAATTAGTGACAAGTTAAATAGTAGAAGTGGTGCGGCAATTTCACACAGAGGTAGACCTTAAAAATCGCGTACGCGGTAGAAGTAGTACAATCAAGCATTAAAAAAAAAAATAGCCAAAATGCATACTTACTCTCGGTTGTCGATCGTCATCTTGCGGAACATGTCCGCATACTCCTGATGTGTTGCTTCAAAGGCAAATCGTTCTCTTTCGAAATTACGCTCGCGTTCTTCGAGTTCGGCGCGCTGCTGTTCAAGTGATTTCATCTGCTCCTCATGGCGCCGGCTGCGCTCAGTTTCGTTTTCTTCTAACTTTTGCAACTGTAAGTTATATGTCGTCCGAGGCAAGAACAAAAGGATAGAGCAGTTTTGAAGGCCGTATTGCTTTAGTAACGCAATAATCTTGTACAAATCTGAACAAAAATCGTCGATCGCTAGGGATTAAGGAGCAAAATATTATATAGGACTAACGTCAATGAAGCTTAGTTACCGCTCAAAATACCTTTCCTTGTTGGAACACCAAATCCATTATAGGAGATGTTAGCTGAGTTTAGAAATTATAGCATACTTGTCGTTTGATTGCTACGCTGAAGCCCGTAGGATTGACCAGTGAGAAGAATAATGGAACATTAGAAAATCTCACTTATTTTTCTGCTCCAATGCCTCTGGCACCACATCACACATCAGTAGCAAGTAATTGCGAAAGACAGTCAAATTGAAATCTAGTAAACTGGGATAATATTAGATTTGGAAGACGCAGCTTATCCGCTATGTAACCGCTTTGTCGAACAAATCAATAGGTTGGTGATAGTTGATAGACTGTTAACGCGTTAGAAATCACCATCAGTCTATACACGATCAACTGCAGCATACCCAACCGATTGTGTGACATCTGCTGACATGTATCACCTACTAACACTCATCCTAATACCGCTACAATTACCCAGGACGTCGAAGGCTTCATTTGGTGAATCAGATATAGCGCGCTGAAAACGCGCTGAAAATATTTTTATAGGCGACACCGGAACAGATACAAAACGTTTCCATCGAAAATTCGCGTGTGGAGTGCAATCACTGTTAGACTATCTCGCATTTGCAACTTTGGCTACGAAGTCAATACCTTTTCCTTGACTTTCATGGCAAACACTGTTTCCATTTCTTGACGCATTTTTGCTACTTTGGCGTCATGCTCTTTCTTCTCTTCCTCCATTTGTGCAAGTGGATTCTTGTTGCTGGCGCCGCCCTCGGGAGGCGCGCACGCTCCCCCAGTCAGCTTGCGAACTCTGCAATGACAGAGAGCGAAGGCTATATGAGATCCTTACCAAACAAGCATTTTCGCGATGTACTGAATAAGCTCTCAATCGTTAATCACAGCAAAGCAACGCATCAATTAGATTATACGGGTTTTACTAACCGGAAGTGCTCATAGTGGCAGTTGTGGGTGACTTCTTTGAGGTCTTGCATATGCGAGCGGATTAGGACGTTCCGTAAGGGGATAAAGTCGCAGTGCTCGATCGAGTCGACCTCGACCGTTCCCCAAGGATATTTTCGGGCGCGGACCTTTTTTCCGCCAATTTCGATTAGAGCATTCGAACCAACGATGGCAAACGGTAAACGGTCCTTTATTGATTTGGACACAGTTCCGTTCTTGAGATCTGTCCCATCTGATCCGCCGACTTCCATTGAGCCATTCTCGCTGATTTCGTTCAGCGACGGGAAATCGTACACCTGTGGCGAAATGAATGGAAGAATACTCGCGAGAATGAAAACGTTACTCTCATAATGTTACTACGCTTTTCAACAAAAAATTGGTTTTCACGGATGGGCATGCATCCATGGCTGTTGCCATTAAGGAATATCTATTTGAACGGAAAACCAAAAAAAAAAAACGAAGAAATCATTTTTCTTTACATTAAATACAACTTAATTTTTACACATTGAAAAAAATCCACTATTTCGTGTTATTATTTCTTGCGGTGCTATTGACACTGAAAGGCTTCAGCGTTGACGGAAAAAACGTACGCACTTTAATGAACAGCTCGTTGATGATCTTGATTTCCACCTACCTTGATTCCATGTTGTGTAAGCTCATTTTGAATGCGTCTTTTGAAAAGCTGGCATTCTTCTGGCGTGAACGTGTCAGCTTTAGCAATAACTGGTACGATGTTGACTTTGTCGTGTAGCTTTTTCATCACTTCGACATCCAGCGACTTCAGGCCGTGCCCCGATGGCGCGATGAAATACAAGCAACAGTGGACCCTATACATCAATTAAACTCGATGTTTAGTCGTGAAAATATAGCCTTAGAAAGATAGCCCTTAGGATCGAAAACCGTTCTGTTTGAAATTTTTAGGAAAAAATCAGTCACGTCTCATGGCGGTTAGAGGCCTCTAGCCGTTAATACAACTACAGGTTTCAACACTATCCTTCGTAAAGTACGTTTAAAGTTGAATACAGTAATGATTAAAAATGCCGAAACATTATTACTCGCCTATTATCGACGATATGAGCCGATCTTTGAATCTTAGTCTCTTCTTGAAGATACTCGGCATATTTATCCTCAATGAAATCGATGAGAGGCATCCAGCAGTTAGTGTTATCTAGATTTCCTCCAAAGCCCGGGGTGTCCACAATAGTTAGCGTCAAGGTGACTTGTCCCTCCTTGATACAAGTGAGCGGGTTTACAGGGTGAAAAAAGCAATGACAATATTAGAATTTGCAATACAAACCGCTTACATTGATCGACGACTCCCGGTGCTTAAGCAAGTTATTTATTTGTCCATGAGATCGATCGTGTCATAAGTTCAATTGACATAAAATAACGATTTATCAGCCATAGAGCTATTATAGTTTTCAGCTTTTTGCGACAATTTTCGTAGTAGCTAATTTTACTTTAATGAACAAAAACAATGATGTGCGTATTTAAATTTACAATCACACAATAAATATATATATATATATATATATATATATATATATATATATATATATATTCTAATAAAGTTCGAGGACCTAACGCTACTAACTGATTCATTAGAATGGAGACTAATTCGTACCTGTAATACAACTTTTGTTGTTTCAACCTGGACAGTCTTCTGTACCGTCCTCTGCGAAGGCCCAGGATAATCGGCCGAGTAAATATCAGCACAGAACAGAGAATTAACGAGGGTGCTTTTGCCGAGACCAGACTCACCACAGACCATCAGCGTGAATTCAAAGCCACGTTTCACCGTCTTGTTATACACCTGTTGCATGACAAATGGTCACTATAGTCGTAATATAAAGTCTCGATTTTACAGTATATATATTAGCGGAATTAAACATCGGGCTAATTATAGGCCAAAGTTTGTAAACAGAAAAAACTGGGCCAAAAGGTCTCGACATGATTAACCGTTGGAACAACCCAGTTGATATTCGCTTGGAAAAGCCGTTGATCTCTGTCTAAAAATTCAGGCGTTTGGAAAATTATTTGCAAGCTTCTTTGATTAAGTCCAAAGTCTCAACGTGATCTAAAATTTTGTGATTTTCTTGATGGCAGCTTACTTTCGGATTTTCCAGAAATCATATGAAAACTGACATAATATAAACGGTCGATTCCAGACAGAAGTCTCACTAACAACACGAAACGATGGAATAATATCTGATTTATGCTCAAATCTTGAAAACGGCACGTTTCTGTTTCGCCAAGACGAGTTTAACTATTTGGATGAAAAAACGACCTTTTTCTGTTATCGGAGCTATCGAAGCCTGCATTCGTTTGCCACTGTGCTTGCTGGACCCGAGACTTTTATTTATATTTCGAAGAAAAAGTTTGTTTGTTTGTTTCCATAGGACGCATTGTAATTTGATTATAGGTACATAGACGGCAGAAACGGCTTGTTTGGAAACAATGCCATACCACTGCTTACAGGCCACCCGGCGGCATCGATGGCACTGAGATTATATCAAATGCGTACAAAGTGGCGCCGAGTATGCTGTCTTGGACGACAAACGGTGTCTAGATAGATATTGTGAGAGCTGCTAGGAGGTTACAGCTGTTAAAGAATAGTTACCTCTATTATAAATATAATTAGTTTTTTTTACCTTTCCTCAGTTGAAATAAGACATGTACATAAAAACAATCGAAAATGATACCACAATATACAAGGGTGCTCTTGTAAACAAATTAAGGATTCTCGTAGCAAGTGTTCCAGAAGTAGCTCCACTAACTGATCTCACTTCAGTGCTGCACTAGTAACCACATTTTTATCGCTTAGATTAAAATAAAGCAAACTTGAACACTTATAAACTTTAAAGCGAGCAGCAGTTACTGCTGGTCTGACTTCGATTCAATAAAACTTCATCTATTAATAACGTGGCACGTCTTGCTAGCGACCAACGTTTAACGGGAATAGGCGTCTGTTCATCGATATACACACGTGCCCAATAGTATGTTTTTTGTATGTGAAAGCCTTGCTAGTAGCACCTGTTCTTTGAAGTAATCGTTTAGCTCGAGTTTGTCGCGCTTCAAAGCTGCATTGAATATCCGAACCTCGTTCTTCTTTTGGACAACTCCGGCGATGATCTCATTCCTATCCGTTTCGACCATATTTTCAACAACAGAAATTACCGGTTGTCCATCAACTGCCATTAGCCGTACCACTGTGAACGTTGCTGCTACTAATGTAGGTAGGTAATGGTGGCCGAAATCTCTGAGGCAGACAGGCACACCATATAATTCGTATACTTCTCGCAAATAAACCTGATGCCTCTGTTCTTTTCAAGGACCACAACACTGACGACATCAAAATATGACTAGGATGTTGCAGCTGCAGCGATTTTTTTGATGTATCGACGCTGGAACTGTGCTTTCTGTACCGCTTCCCGATTACGATTGCGTTGTCGCGCCTGGATCAAGGGGCACGGTACCTGACGACCTCCATAGCACTGGTCCAAATTACTGGATGTTAGCCGCTTCCAAGTGAAGCAACTTCCCGTTGAACGCACGATTTTTACCACTGCTAGCACCACCTTCTATGCATGCTCCATTCTATAGACGTTTTAATGCTGTATTTTGGATACGGATCCACACGGCCAGCGTTCTGTTATTATCTGTATCATCACTGATCCTCTATGACAAATCACTCATTAGTAATTTCTAGACTTGAAGCTCAATGAGCATAGCTCCAAGAATCACTTACTGTTACTACTAACATATGAATGCTCCCGTGTACGCACGAGGTGGGGAGCTCGATTGGCCAATCAACTCAAAAATTGATCATAGATTTCACGGAACGAGGTACAACAAGTAGGCAAAACCTCAGCCATAGGTTGTCTATGCAGCACATAGTCGACTTTGCATTACTTCTAGCTACCATGAGTTCATCGCTGCCATTGAAGCTTGGCAAGCGTTTTTGGAAACTTTGCTTGAACCTTACCAGCTATGTCAACGTACACCGAGCTTCTTCAGCTTCAACACTGCAATCATTGACTCGAACTGCAGAAAAAGATTCTGCTGTGCAAAACAATTGCACAGGTTTACATTTCAGAGACTCGTAAATCTTGTCACAATGCAAAAACAGCTACCGCTCATCTCTGGTTCTTTACTGCCTTTCAACGGGACCATAGAATAAGATCGGAACAACGGCGGACGCCAACGCCTACGACACCATACAATCACATATAAGCTTGACAGAGTCACGCCAGACAACGAAGGCCTACTCCGAACCACTTCTAAAAACGGCATCTATCGATCGTCACAGAACAGACGTGCAGAACCATAACAGCAAATAAGGCTGATAAAATACGACGGCGTTGGAGGTTCAAGGGGTAGAACTCGCATTACTGAATCTGACAGATAGAAATGTTTCGTCGTGTTTATCACAAGCAGATACACATGCGCACGACACATAAGTACGGCAAAGTCGTCTCATTCGCTGAAGCTGTGGTGATCTTCAGCGAACTCATCCAGCAGATTAAGTTTCTGAACAAGGCTTAAAAAGCATTTAGTAGTGACTGTGCGATGACCATCAGTGTATCGTTTAATCGCCCACAGTTCAAGCAAGCGTTTCAAAATGGAGACCCTATATGTTGATTTAAGTGTTACTGACAGACGACACACGACATTAAGCATCTTATTAACGACAAAGAAGTGACGGCAATATGTACTTGCCTTGCCAAGCACAAGCAAAATTCAAGCAGAGGCTCTTTCTGCCAGTTGAAACGGCGGCTAGTACCAGAGGTAAACGAATCTCGATGAGCATGGGGCTACTTAGCCCATCTATCTAAACACGAGAAGAAAACGCGTACGGGTTCGTGCCGGTACAGAAGCTGCAGATTTGTCATGTCTAGCTACGAATGTGCTCATTTTAAGTGATTTGTACACGTTCCCCTCATGATTAACCTAGTCTTACTCGAGAGTACTGCCAAAACGATGGATGATGTGGAACCGCTGTTAGCGTAACACCATCGCATATACAAACAATAAACCGATTGTTTATGTTGTATCTTTGCCCAACAATCCGCCCAAGCAGTAGAAGTGCCGCGCTAGCGTCAATTTATAATTGGCGGGTCCGCACAGAACAGAAATATTCATTGTTTCGCCAATTTTTAAACACAGCGGGAGCTAAATGAGCAAGTCGGGCCTATAGAACATTGATTAGCGTCCTATCAACACCGGTGGACGTTGGTGTTATTAGGTGATATCCAGTTTAGAGTGTACCTTGTTGAGAATACCAACCAGTGGTACGAACTGGTCCACTTCACATACAATGCTGATCTATGCTATAATGAACTTCCTAGTCGTTCTCTAGTTCATCGACGATAAAGTACGTGCCTAATAAGCTCGAGCTACATCGCATTCGAGTGCTCACCCTTGAACTTACAACCTAAATGTTGCCTAAGAACTAGGCTCAGTTAAATCTATTTATGGTAGCATTTGTATGGAACATCCACTATCAACATCACCGAAATCAAACGAGAACGCAAAATGCCTTAGCGCTTTTTCTAAATTAATAATAATGACTATCATTTAGTGTTTCAAGAATTCATTGTACCTTACGATGGTGGTAAGTATCTATATCTATGGACGAGAAATCTTGTATACGTTTTGTATGCATTTAAACCGGCTCACAATTGATTTACTTGAATATAGTAGACGAGCTATTTACCCAAAAATGTGCTTGAATCAGATGTATTTTTTAGTTGTTTCCTGTTATCCTTACGTTTCCAATCGTCTCCTTTACGACGTGTGATGTAATAAGCTTTTCCTTCTACTGCTTAATAACCGAGCTAATGATAAATAGAAACTTGTTGTTTCCCAACTAGCATTCGCGAGATAGTTTTGTTAATAACCTGTCGCCTACCTGTTCGGGAAGTGTGGAGAAACCGACGGGCCCGTCAAGTTTGCTGAGGGTATTTGCACACGCGCCTACGTCCTTGTATTTGGAGGTGTAGTCGCCGCTTCCGCCATTCGTTTCAGACCGAAAGCTGCTGGAGGCGTAGAGTGACGTTTTTTCAGAAACTCGCGGTGATTCGAAGCCTTTCTGATACTCTTTTGATGCCAACTGAAAAGAAAAAAGCGCAACAGAAAATTGCTCGTTAGTATTATTTTTAATTTCGGCCACAGCATACATACATACTTGTCTCATTTTCGATTTATGCGCGTCGTCAACAGCATCACAAAGTACATACTAAATCTGATCGTATGAACGAGGGAACACAATTTCTCTCTAAATAAAAAGCTTGTTTTTTGGAGATACTATTTTAGCTATAGACGAGCCAATAGCTTCCCGCTCATTTGGACGTATCTTCCTTCGTTTCGTTTTCTTCCTGCTCTGTCAGTGTTATTCGTTATGGCATGTAGCGACAAGGCCATCAAGCTAAACAAGCGCAAGTAACGAGGTCAGCGACGCGTTGGCATCAGTATGATCGTGGCAGCAGTTTTATCAAAATGAACATTGAAACAGACTGGTGCAGCCGTATGGGTCCCGTAGCAGCGGCAGCTGCCCCCCACTCCGACCTCTCTAACCATCTGCACCACTCTAACAAACCGCCGAACATCTGATAGTACCATATATCTATACTATACCCAACCGTACGAAAGTAAAGTGATGTATACACGCAGTCCTTCGGCCCATCTAACATCCTCCACTCGGAAAGTTCGTGAAACTGGTTAGCATATAGCAGTTATGAAGTAACGTGAAGTCGATCCGCAGGTTATTGGTGAAGGCCTAAGGAGGATAGGGTGGTAAGATTGGAGCGGGGAGGACGACAACGGCAGGATTCGGCAGTTAGCCGGCCGAGTGTTGTGATGGCGCGACGCGCTACTGGTGTCGTCAAATGTGTGTGTGCGTATCCATGTATATTTGTCGCGGACGAAGCCGAGGGTAAATGAGTACGGCACCTTGACTACACGGAGTATTGGATAGATGTGTCATGGTATACAATTGGTAAAGGTGACTGCGATACATCATTTTCGTTGTCAGGCAGGCCGATATGGCAAGTGGTAGCCATGCGCATGGCATTACACAGTCTGCGCATTTTGGTCGTCACATATATCTTGACTCATTTGCCGGTAATAATATATGTGGCTGAACCAGTCTGACGATGTTGAAATTGCAGATCGCAGTTTCAACAAATCGCTCAACCGAAATACACCCGCGCATAACAGTAGAATTGGCTCGGTCAAGAGCAAGGCGAGCATGAAGTGATTGCTTTTTATCAGGGTATTCACAAAATAGTTTATCATGCGTTCAGTAGCGGTCTGTCTTAGCTGAAAAACAATCCTTCGATTGAAGAATTTATTATTCATTCCGCACGGAAGAAGCCATAATTTTTATTGACGAACTATTAACTAGCGCCAGAAAGTGCAAACTTGAATTTATTTTACGAAGAACGCCGGCAACAGCTGGGAAGGGAGCGAGGAAAGGAAAAGCTGAGTTGAATACAGAACACATAGCTAAACACCACGCCCTAGAATCACGTGAACGGGCTGCTAACGAACGTATAGTCTTCACGAAGCGCAAAACATAATGAAGATGGCTACGGAGAGGAGAATCGAGAGGGCGTGAGATGTGAACGTTTGTACGGGTACCTATGGCGATTTGGGGCATCCCATTGTAGCTCCTCATTAATCGATACTGTTAACGAACACGTTTCATACGTACCAAACGACTCAAGAGGGGCAGCGTAAAAATCTGAGAAGAAATTTACCCTCCATTCCCATTTTCTACATCAACATGAAAAGTGGAACAGGTCGCACGCGACGAACTGCTCCTATGACCGGTATCGTACTCCAATTCATTTCAGCGACAAAGCCCTCTACTAACGTAATATCTCAAACCCTCGAATATTGGCATACGGAATCACCATATCAGGACTGAACGCCATCTTGTCCTATTACCGAATTCTGCCACGACAGACGTGTCCTGTCGGCGTATTAACATACACAGTTACTTTTGTAGAGAATTCATTTGAGTAAAGGCGCGCAACGACAAGGAAAACGTAGCTGATCCTAACGCTGTCCAGTAACGACAAGAGAACAGAAAGGTGCATCGCGATGCACGCTACCAGAATTTTTGCCGTTTCCCTATGGTTATTCTTTTCCGTATCTTCTTCATCTCGATCGCAGAAAAAATTCAGCGTCCCAAAATAGCGCCATAGGCAGTAACAGCGTGGATCACAAAATTCTCTGGCCCGGGAATTCTGTGATCCGCGCTGCAGTAACGCTCAATGCGTATCACGCATAATACAATAATAGTCGTCGTGGTTGAGTAGTGATCAGATACGGGAAGATATGGCGGAGAAATCGGGAATGGAATAGAGGGAAAGCATCGGAAAACGTTAAAGACTAATAACCCGCAGCCGATTTTACCGCTCTATCGTTCACCTTGTACGCAGAACCGTACGCTGTTTAGTCTGACAGACACATACGCTTAAACGTCAAATGAGTAAAAACAACATATTTGTACGTTCATCATGACGCAGATCGCCACGTTAATGAACTACCAGCTCAAGGGTCGAACGAAGCCAAACGTAGTCGATGCATATAATGAGTGCAGACGGACTCACCAAGAAACAATTCTAACGAAAGTAAAATAAAATAGAAAAAGGCAGACTACTTTTTATTTTTAATCGGACACGATATTGCTCAGAGGTGTGTGGGAAGAGGGCGAAGAACATCATGAAACGCTGTCAATACATTGTACAGACTGTTCAAAGCGGAACGGGGCAAATCTATCATAGCTTGTAGCTCAAGTCAAAATAGATATTTCGATTAAATGTTTCCGATTCTGCCGACAAAAGCGTTACTGATAGACGCTTATCTTCCTTTAACCGCTATTGTAAAATCTCCAATTTGGTTAGAGTTTCTTGTCGTGTTGCTTCCATCGTGGTCCCTTTTCTGTCTATTCAACGGCTGCGTAATCCGCTGCGAAGCGGGTTCATAGTTTTGGTGAAGGTTCGTCCACCTCGAAAGCGTTCGATAATAGCAGGCCTTAGCTCATTTTCAAAGCAAACGGAACCTCCTGCCTCCTGCACGAGTAGGCCGTGCTTTCAATCTAGGACTGAACTGGCTTCTTTACGCTAGCAACGATATCGTCTAAATTGATTTGTAGCCGCAACAAGCAGCGCGACAATATCTAATCCTAGCTAATTAGTATACGCATTTTCACTAGCCGTGTCTGTTCGTTCGGTAATAGGGCTCGTTTGTATCCACACATGTCTATCTAATGTTGGCTGAATGCTATTATAGGTGGGAGAATAGTCAATTTCTTCTGCAGCGTTCCAGAGATCGAGTTAACGCGTTGGCCTAGGCGACGTATTTGCCTGTGGGTGACGTGCGCGTTGTAGGGCATCGCGACGATCAGCCGACCGGATCTGCCTACGTAGTCGAGACGCTGATTGGGCTTCAATTCAACGTCGGAGACAGACAGACTTATCGACCTGCTAAACTTGATATATATATGGCAACAGAGCGGAGCAATGGACCACTCACTCCACGGTGCCTTGTAGTGCAAAGATGGCGTCGGCTTTTTCGACACATTCTTGAATACTGCTTGATGTTTAGAACTTTGCTGACATGGGGATCTGGCCGACAGCGTTATGCATCTTTCTTCGAAAAGATAGCAGCCTTAGTTTAACAAAAACTAATCATATATGGAAACATCATTACATAAATATCGAAAAGTCATACATGCACATTTAATCTAGATCGATATATAGAGCTGTTTCTTAATTGAGATTTGGTTTTAAACCGCTGAAAACTTCTCGTTCAGCTCGACGTCACACGCTAGCCAAAAAGATCCCTTTAGTAATCGGAAGCGTTCAATTGATTAGATCTTGGTCAAAGGAACGAGGCCATAATATTGTTAGATGGCGCCCATGGCTTTTCCCGACTAGTATATGTGTGTACGATAATGTATATTATGTGGCCAGCTGACAAAAAGATCAATTTTCGCAATATACGTTCTTATGTTATCAATGTACTTAGCATAGTGCCGTATAGGTGAGAGTTGATCAAAATTCAGGCCTTAAAAAGAAGTTGTTGATTGTCATTCCTTACTGTTGTTATGATAATCCTGCTCACCCTTGCACCGAAGATAGCAGCGCGATCCCGAACGCTCGATTTTGCCAAGGATGATGGAGCTTCTTCAGCCATGTTCACTTACTTATCACTAAAACGATGTATGGACGCATAGTGACACAGGTAACAATTTAAGTAGGCTAGTAGGTCAACTAGGCTTCGGTACAGGAAAAAAACATAGGTCTGAGCAACGACAACAATACTGCAATGACGAAATCCTGATTACTGCAAGTCACGAGTTTTCGGCAAAAAAGAACACGAAAAATCGTATCTCGGAGTGGTAACTAAATACGGGCTAGTTGGGAGAAGCATACGGTGCCGCTGGATATTCTGATCTATATTCGATATTCTGATACTGTGATCTGGTCGTGAACGTTCAATTCTATGGGGATCTCAGAGATAGGACTCGCTATAAGTTCGTATCATAGACGCTAATAAAAAAAACTAGCTGGTCAAAACAATCGCTCAAATACTTCTCTCCCCTATTTATACGGGTTATAGGCGATATTCCATACAGTATCTATAGGTAGTAATTAGCAACGGCATTTACGTGTATTCTAATAACCCGACGAATTTACTTATATCAATATCTAATGTAGGGTGTTAGCAGCTATTGCACAAACGTTTTCTCGCAGCTCTCCGACGTCGTATGTGATAACGATTGCCGGAAGTCGTGGCTGCATTTTACTATCAGGAATGGAGAGAACACACATTCGTGAATGTCCGCGTCCCTTCAGGCTGTCCGCAGATATACGCATGTTTAACGATAAGACGAACGGCGGATAAATGCTGAAGAGCTGGATAATTTCTACTTCAAACCGCTATGCCGTTGTGTTTTTGTACCATAAGTCGAACTCTTGCCATGTTTCCTTTTTCCATTACGTATTTGTAATGTTACGCGCAGCAACTAACGGATCTTCCCAATATGAAAAGGTATAACGTGGGCCTAAAACCACGCACGCTACTAGTCGCGGTGCGTCG